CCTACTGATTTATATACATATACCTTGTGGCAGCCAGTGCCGCCTTCTTGCAGCACCACGTCTAATTGACCTCCATTGGATAACGGCTCGTAACTTCAACCACTGAGCTTTGGGACATACATCTCTCGCCTCTCTGATGCTTCGGTTATTTACATTGAAGCTTGGGGAAGAAGCAAGGATGCCTATAGATGATGATTCATAGTCTGGAGTCAAAATAAATCCATTTCCTTGTGCCCATGCAGGAGCGGCTGATGTTAAGCTTAGCATTTGAGCCTGAGGATTATCCTGATTTATATCGAAATCTCCATCTGTGAAAAGTGAAAAAACATTGTCTCCATTGTAAGGGAAAATTCCCTCCATTCGAAAACTGTTTCTTAGCATTGGACTAAATGCTCCAATTCCCTGCAATTGATCGGGATCTTCCACTTCATAGGCATAGGAGGATTGGCTGAATCCCAGTGACATGCCTTGTTGATCTGCATATACAAGGATTTCATAAGCATATAATACATGTGTTCTGCATTTCAATTAATAAGAAGGAATTCAAAGTCTGAAACTGGTAGAACCCTAGTGGCATGTCTGGTCTTTTACCTTGGTTTGAGGCTGAGAGATCAGGTTGCTGCAGAAGCAAATTCGAGGTGCCTACTGGTTCAGGCAGCAGACCTGTAAAGAGCATTGAAGGGCCAGCCGTAATCGCTTGCCGGTCGATCAAGACCAGGTCCCGAACATTCTTGTAAGCTTGTCTCTTTGCATCTTCCACTAGCAGCTGCAAAAATGAATTGCAGGAAAACCATTCAGTCTTTATTCTTATGTAACATATGGAACATAATAAGGTGAAATACTGTAATTACGAAATTCACGGATATGACACACGTACCTTCTGGGAGAAGTTTAAGTTTTCTACAGGCAGGTAATTTTGGCCATCAAACGTTACTTCAATGACCTGATAAATGGAGTTTAAGAGGAGACCAACTCCTTGTGCAGCTCCGTAGTAGGTATACCACTCATCATCATCAAGAACACAAGTTAAGGCATGTTCTACGATTGTATCCCATACCCTGTTTGAGATCCCACCACCTAGTATCTGCAGTTATGTCACAATTCAGACAGGTTCAGCCGATGAAACAAAAAAAATTAGATGTTATGATGGATATGAAGAATTCTTGATTTATTACATTGCGTAGTGTGGATGGATCAGTAACTTGCAGCCGCAGGAAGTCCTTTATGTTATGAATATTTTTAGAAGCCAAACGAGCATGGAAGGTGCCATCTTTCGCTATCCTTTCGAGACGCCATACTTCATCGCGTAGGTGCGGCGGGTAGTGTTTCTTGTACACTGCATATGAATAAATTTCCATGTCAGTTTTTAAGATTATACTGAATATGGAATTGAATTTGAAAAAAATAGTGTTTGAGCTTTACATTCTCCACGATGATCCTTCACCTTGAATGCTTCACTTGTAGCCTCCCTGATCGTCACTTCACCAGCAATTCTTTGTACAACTCTAGCTCCTAAACGGAACTTTCCACTTCTTATCCAGCTCGAATTGTCGGTGAAAACCACGTTATCAACAGTACCAACACCGTCTACCATCGTAACATTGAGATCCCCTGTTACCAATGGCCTTTTACCCTCTCGTTCACGAAGAACACTAGCATTGAATTCATTTTCCGACCAATCTTGTCGTTCATCAGTGCCGAAATCACCATTGAGGACAACAATTTCGACCTTAATCGATGACAGGGATGAGACCATTGTCTGGGTAGTTGCATCAACTAGGACAATCCTAATGGGATTCCCATTCTCAGCCTCAACTTTGCTGCCTGTAAATAGGTCGAAGGTAGTTTATCGACAAAACGCAACTGCAGCCTTCGTCCTCTTGGTGCCTCGATCTGATTAAGCGAGGATCTAAAACAGTAAAAGTACCAACTTAGACTGCTAACGGATTACACAATAAACATGCAGCATAAGGATACATACAAACATGGAAGATATACATCAAAATGCTGACCTTGAAGATGAAGGAATGGAGGACATAATTGCCGTTTCGACAGCCTCTCGAACCTAAACGGATGATATGTAGAAGAATTAAAATACAGTGACATAAACTGAGAAATCAGGCAATTCAAACCAAGATTGAAATGTAAAGATACAATTCCAGCTAATAAATTCGTTGATACTATCATAATAAGATTTGACAGCTCAAACTGTACCCCAAGTTGAGCTCAAATGAAGCAGAACCAACATATGAAGCAGGGCTTACCCATAACCGAAGCATTGGTTCCAGGTTGAGCACAATTTTGTTGAAGGAAAGCCCTCCAACACCCATTTTGTTTCGAACAGCACTGAAAAAAAAAAACAACCAAGAAATTAAAGAAACTCAATTCGAAAAACGTGAAAAATTATCAACCTTTTAACGAAAAATACCCAACTCACTTCTTGAGGTAAGCTCTTCTTTTAGGCTCAGGAGCCATAAGTTCCAAGCTCTCATCATCATCACCATGATCAGGAGCAGTTCTCTTACTAGGCAGCATCATGAAAAGATAACAAATTGGAAAGAATAAAAGCAAACACTTGGTAACCCAAATGCTCTCCAGCTGGTTGTTATAAATACCCAGAAAGCAAAACACTTTCGTTGACTTTAAAACTCTCGAGTAATAGAAGATACCGGGAATTTACTCTTCAAAACCACTGTTTTAAAACACGTAATGTCGCTGAAGTCAAGAAAATGTTGTATTTAAATGATAAAAATGGTTTAAAGCAACAAGAAAACCCCCAAAAGGAAGAGAAAGACATAAAGGAACATTAAATATGCAAAATTTGTAAGGATATAGTTAAATCGTGCACATCACTGGACCGGAGTTTAACTAAAAAATGATACTAAAATATCATTTGGATTTCATAGGTAAAACGAATTAACGATGTGGAAATAGAACAAACGCGTGATCATAATTGAAAAGTACATAAAAAGAGAAATCAAAATATACAATGAAAACGAGCCATCCGACAAATCAGAAGAGGACGGCTACATGTGTTTGAATTTAGTTCTTCTTCTGACAAGAAATTTATGAAAAAAAACACGGTTGGGTTGGATTGGGATCGCACGATTGAGAGAAATTTTGGATTGAAATCGTGCGATCAAGAGAACTTTCGGATTGAAATCGCGCGCTTGAGCCAAAAAAAAAAACGCTTTTAAATTATGTTTTTCCACAAAAACCGTGTCTGGTTTTGTTTTGTCTCGGTTTAATATAAAAATAAATGACAACCTCTTATAGATTTAAAATTAAAAGATTTAAAATATAAGCTTAAAAAGGACTGAACCATTGGGAGGAATGACTCATACCTAAACCGCTAAGTCAAGATTCCTTGTATATATTATGATAGGATTGTTGTATAACCAAAACTAAAATTTCATTAAATTATGAAACATTCAGAAAATAACAGATGATTAAAAACCTCCCTACGACGATTCATTCGCATTAGTCGATGCACTTTTGTCGGATCGAAAATCTATGAAACAGAATAAAGTTTTTAATGGTCTGTTATTTTTTCTGAACATGTTTTTCTTCCAAATGACTTGGGTTCCATCCCTTCTAAGCTTCTATTTAAAATCCTTTAATTTTAAATCAGCAAGAGATTACCATGTGCCAATGTTTGAATGGTTTATAATTATTAACAAATAAAATTACATAAAATTAATTAATAAAAATATTTTTACTAACGTGGTATGTCACATCTTCATTTGTGTCATGTCAGTATTGCATTATATCTATGTATGATAAGACATTTTTTAGACGTCGATAGTTTATTAATTTTTTTTAAATAGAATATTTTGTATAAATGAAATAAAGTACATCACTTCAAGAAGATAATTTGTTAACTAATAATTTCTATTAAGTGATGAATTTTTTATCTTAAAATAAATATTAAAAATTAAAATGCTCAAAAAAATAAAGATAAAGTGATCATTTATGCAACATCACATATTAATTTTATGATTATGCCACTTAAATGCTTTTAAATTATCTCGTACACAATTTTTTTTTGAACTTAGTTTAGTGTATTTTAGTGTTATGTGTCGTAATTATGATTTATAGTTTAGAATTTAATCTTTTTGTTTAAAATTTATCCTTAATTATCAGTAGTCCCACTAGGTTCACTATGTCACTTTCACTTACTGTCGGCCGAAGTGTCCTTTCTCTGTGTTAGATGGATGCAGTTTTTATTATTTTCAAGTTTGGACCGTCTTTTTTTATTATTTTCACGTTGTTTCTTGGCAACTTCATGGCATTTACGGTCACATTTCCTCCATGTAGGAGAGAGATTCACAGAAATACTACTGGACGTAAAATTCTCCGAACTTTTGTCTCAATTTAATATATATATATATGATGGATTCACTTATCTATTATATTTTTTTTAATTTTACATAAATGTAAGGTCATCGGATAAATAAAATTAAATAGAATTTAATTTAAAATGATTATATGAGTGAAATATTAGGCTTATCGGTAATCACTTGAGCAGTCTGCACCAATAATTTTTCAGTAGGAAATAAGAACCAACCTCAAACATAAGCTTTAAGAATGGCAAGATTCAACCGGTTAAAGCTACAAACATTAACAAAAAGAAGGGGGGGAATGCACTGTACAGCGCACCTAAACAACTCAAAATCCAAACTTTGCAGCACTGGTCAAGATACACATCCTTTAAAAATAAAATGCAGATGCAACTCTAATAAACAAAGAAATAGTAGATGATTTTTATGTGTTTGATCATTTTTGCATCATAATTCAGTCGTATATATGTATCATCACAGTTCATCCTTCGATCAAATTTTCCAACCTCTTCAATGGTAGAATACTAGAATCCTAAAAATATAATGAACAGAAGAGGAAGAAGAAACGAAAAGAAATAATGGGGAAAAATATGCATTTTATACACTTTTTGTGGGTGTTTCCCCCCACATTTCACTTCCATGCTATCAACGTCTCTTCCATTAATAACTATGCACAAGCTTATGATACTTCTTCTTGATCCACTTATGGCCTTTCTTCAAAGAAGACTTGATCATCCCTTCAAGGGCATACATCTTATACTTGGTAACCCTCATCTTTCTTTTTATCATTGGTTCATTGAACCATGATGTGATTGGCAACGATGACTTCTTCTTCTTCTTCTTCTTTTTCTTATCGGCCGGTTTTTGATCGATCGGAGGAGAAGGATCGTAGGATAGTTGAGGTCGACCGAAATAAACTTTGTCGACGTATTTTAACATGTTAGCATCAAATATTTCGAAGTTCCGGCCGCCGGCTTCCCGGTGGGAAGAGTTCCGGAAATCTTCCATCTGTCGATGCCTTACTTGCCTTCCGTTGGACCTTCTCTCTCTTTCTCTCTCTCTTTTCTTTCTTCTGCTTTTGAGGCTTTAGCTATGGGAAAGAGAAAGAAGGGGAAAAGAATGGAAGTCCTTTGATTACGGTAAAAACAAGTACAACCGTGGAGAAATGAGAGGTTCGTTATTTAAAAATACAATTTAAATAATTGAGTAAATTATATTATTAGTCATCAATTTATTTTTATTTTCTATTTTTGGTCATATATATTTTTATTTTGCAAATGTGTCACCAACAATGCTGACAATTTTATTTTTTTAGTTTTCAGATCCTCTTCTCTCTACTAATTAGCATTGATATGTCATTTTTTATATATAATTAGATAATGACATGTCTCAGCATAAAAGATTTTAAAAATATTTAACGACTCATCAATTTTAAAATATTTTTGTTATAAAATTATACATTAGTGTAGAGCACAATGTGAATGGATAATAATATTTATTGCTCATATATTATAAGTTTGTACATTATCCTTTTATAAGTTCCAAAATCATAGGTCCCTTCAATTTGTAATAATGACAGTAAATCCCCTCAAATTCTTAATTACTCTTTTTTTAATCAATTAAACATCAAAATCTCCTAACCCTAAAATTAGGATGTGATATGGCTTACGTACTTGAAGCATCGAAGATCAATTTTCTAATGAAATTTATGTCAAAAGAGAGATTGTTAGATATTGACTGAATTTTGAATTAGAAATTAAATTAAATTTTATTGTAATTTTATTGGTTGAAGATTACTTGATGATTAATTTAGTTAATTAATTATGGAATGAGGATTCTCTTTGACTAAGTATTTGACTCTAATTATTTAATTAATAATAAATTAAAATTAATTCTAATTTACTTAATTATTGGGTATTTAATTGAGTATTTAAATTTTAGATTTAGATATTTAATTAATTAAAATAACTAAATAAAATTTAAACAATAAATCTAGATTTTAGTGACCTCCGGCCACCATGCTCTCTCGTGTTCAACTTCTTGATTTAATATTTATACTAAAAATTTCATCATCATTTTTAAAATATTACGAAATAAAAATTTAGTTTGGAAATATTTATATTCAAATCTAAATTTAACTATCAAATAATATCAAAACATGTTTTAGTACTTTACTTATGTCCTTACAAATCTTTTTGTCGTTTAGATTTATCAAAATATCTCAAAGCCATTTGACACTTTTAAGGTAAAAAATAAGGGTAAATTACATAAATAGTCTCTTGACAGTAGGGTGTTGCTTTGTTAAGTCATCGGCTATTAAAAGTTATAAACTAATACCTTGATTATAGGGTGTTACTTTGTTGATTCCCTCAACTATTAAAAGTTACAAAATAGTCTCTCGACTATTCATATATTTCAAACTCGTCATTTTCCATTAAAAATTGACTGTCTTCTAACTTGAACGTTAACATGTTAATTGAGATATGATAGTCTTTTGAGATTCTGATATCAGATTTTGTTATATCACAGTCAACAAGTTAACGTCCAACTTAGACCACAATCAACTTTTTAAAGGATACAGACAAGTTTGAAATACATGAAGAGTCAGGTGACCATTTTGTAACTTACAATAATCTAAGGACTCAATAAAGCAATGTCCTATAGTCGGAGGATTATTTTATAACTTTTAATAATCGGAGGACTCAACAAAGCATTAACCTATATTCAGGGGATCATTTCTATATTTTACACAAAAAATAATAATAATATTTTTATTTGAAAGTTGGCATGGGTGATGCAAATTCTTTAAATTAATTTGTCGATCATTATGGATAGGAGTGAATAAAATTTAACTTAATTTGAGAAAATTTAAAAGAAGAAACCTTGTTGATAGTATCTTTATATAGTCGATGAACCCTTGGTAGCCAAAAGTAGTGAAAAGCTTCTGTTGCCTTCAAAAATCAAATAAAAGGTGTGTTTGAAATGACATACTTTCTTGACGGAGGTTCAACAATCCCAACAAGGCACTTCCATAAGCCAAAAGATTTTCATTGAAGATTTTGAAGAAATTTTGCATGGAGAATTGCAAGTCTATTAGTATGCTCATTGCTCAAGGTGAAAAACTAAGCAGCAGAGATGACTTTGAAAGAGTCGATGAGAAGTGCTATAAAAGTCTTATTGGATGCTTGTTGTATCTAAAAATAACCAGACTAGTTATCATGTTTACTGTAAGTTTACTATCAAGATATTGTTGCAATGTCTCACACTTTACGGCAGCCAAGAGAGCATTAAGGTATATAAAAGACACTTCAGATTATGATTTCTAGTTCAAGAAGGTTGAAAAGTTGAGTTTTCTTGGGTATACAGACAGTGATTGGAGTGATTCAATATGAAAAGCACTTTTGGATACTTTTTTACACTTGATTCTGGTGTTTTTCATGGAACTCAAGAAAGCAAGAAACAATTGTCCAATCAACAGTAGAAGCAGAATATTTGCTACAACTATTGTTGTTAACCAAGCCATTTGGCTAAGAAAGTTGAATCTGATCTAAGAGGAAGCAGCAAAGGATATATTGTGATAACTAATCTGCTGTTGCAATTGCAAAGAACCCTGTCTTTCATGGAAAAACAAAACATTCCAAGGTAAAGTTTTGTTTTGTGAGATAAATGGAGTGATTGGAGTGATTCAATATGAAAAGCACTTTTGGATACTTTTTTACACTTGATTCTGGTGTTTTTCATGGAACTCAAGAAAGCAAGAAACAATTGTCCAATCAACAGTAGAAGCAGAATATTTGCTACAACTATTGTTGTTAACCAAGCCATTTGGCTAAGAAAGTTGAATCTGATCTAAGAGGAAGCAGCAAAGGATATCGTGATAACTAATCTGCTGTTGCAATTGCAAAGAACCCTGTCTTTCATGGAAAAACAAAACATTTCAAGGTAAAGTTTTGTTTTGTGAGATAAATGGAGTGATTGGAGTGATTCAATATGAAAAGCACTTTTGGATACTTTTTTACACTTGATTCTGGTGTTTTTCATGGAACTCAAGAAAGCAAGAAACAATTGTCCAATCAACAGTAGAAGCAGAATATTGCTACAACTATTGTTGTTAACCAAGCCATTTGGCTAAGAAAGTTGAATCTGATCTAAGAGGAAGCAGCAAAGGATATATTGTGATAACTAATCTGCTGTTGCAATTGCAAAGAACCCTGTCTTTCATGGAAAAACAAAACATTTCAAGGTAAAGTTTTGTTTTGTGAGATAAATGGAGTGATTGGAGTGATTCAATATGAAAAGCACTTTTGGATACTTTTTACACTTGATTCTGGTGTTTTTCATGGAACTCAAGAAAGCAAGAAACAATTGTCCAATCAACAGTAGAAGCAGAATATTTGCTACAACTATTGTTGTTAACCAAGCCATTTGGCTAAGAAGTTGAATCTGATCTAAGAGGAAGCAGCAAAGGATATATTGTGATAACTAATCTGCTGTTGCAATTGCAAAGAACCCTGTCTTTCATGGAAAAACAAAACATTCCAAGGTAAAGTTTTGTTTTGTGAGATAAATGGAGTGATTGGAGTGATTCAATATGAAAAGCACTTTTGGATACTTTTTTACACTTGATTCTGGTGTTTTTCATGGAACTCAAGAAAGCAAGAAACAATTGTCCAATCAACAGTAGAAGCAGAATATTTGCTACAACTATTGTTGTTAACCAAGCCATTTGGCTAAGAAAGTTGAATCTGATCTAAGAGGAAGCAGCAAAGGATATATTGTGATAACTAATCTGCTGTTGCAATTGCAAAGAACCCTGTCTTTCATGGAAAAACAAAACATTTCAAGGTAAAGTTTTGTTTTGTGAGATAAATGGAGCAGAACAAAAAATCTACAATGGTTCAATGTAATTCTGAAAATCAATTGGCAGACATTCTAACTAAGCCTATTGGCAAGATTAGATTTGAACATTTCAAGACCATACTGATCTGAAAAAAAATCAGTAGTAGTGACAGTATTTTGTATTTTAACTTTAAAAGTTTAATAAAAACATGCCGTGAGTCGATTTTTATAGCTTCAATTTTCTTCTTTTTCTCACTTCTCTCTCAATTCTTTTGGTGAACAAACTCTTCAGCTGGTTTTAAAACCAACAAGATGCGCGACATAAGTAAGCTTATAATGGTTCTTACATGCATAACGCAAGATATGCCAATTTCACTCTTGAGAAATAATCACATCGAATTAGCTTACCATATTTTTGGGGATCTTCTGAAGCTAAAAGTTGCGTGGGTGCATGCAGGGAACGCCCTTCAATCTATTAGAAGCTGCAGTGCTTGGCTAGCCCAAAAAGGAAGGGGTGCTTGAATCATGAGAGGGAAACCAGTAATTGGATGCTGAAAAGACAAGGTCTCTGCGTGAAGCTCGTGGGCATCATATGTTCTTCCTTTCCACTCATAGACTCCCTCATATTTCACATCGCCTCTTATAGGAAACCCGAGATATTGGCAATGCAATCGGATTTGATGTGTTCTTCCACTTCGAGGAAATGCTCTAACCAAAATTTCGTCTTTCTTTGCATCAACATCGATAACAGCTTTTTCTTCTACTACAATACTATTTTCTTCATCTTTCACACATTCAGATGGCTCCTTGCACCCATGCTGTCCATTGATTGATAACACTTCAAATGTAGTTTCCATGTCCCTAACTACGGAACCTCCTGGTAGTTTTCGACCTACATCTCCTGCAGCATACACACGCCATGCTCCAAACTTTGATCGACCATGACCTGATTTGATGGTGATTCTTTCTGATTGTGGAGCTGAACCAATGCAGAAAGCAACATATGTTTTCTGAACCTTGTGATTAGTAAATGCTTTGACGAGCATAGAAGCTACTTTGTGCGACTTGGTAATAACCATGATGCCGCTCGTGTCACGATCAAGTCGATTTGCCAGATGGAGCTCTAATGTGCTGGATTGGTTCTCTGGATTGACAAACAAAAAGGTTCAAGCATATCAAAAGAAAGCTTCTTCTGATCTTGGTTATTAGTAATGAATCATCAAGAGTCAAAAATAGATTGTGATACAATGCTTTTCAACTCTACATAAGGATTTAAATAACGGTCTGTAATCGGAATAGCAGTTGTTATGAAAATCCCTACCCTACATGCTAAATGAAAATCCATATATGATCAAATGAAGCGAAGCCCGTGTATTTTTCTATTTCATGTAGAAAGAAGGAGAAATCTACAGATAACCAAGTCTTGTTTTTAGACTCTAATCCAGTGCTAAAGGTGCTTTGTACAAAACTAATAATATCTCATTTACAAAGGAAACAATTTGCCGCTTCAAAATCAGATAAAAAAACTTAAGTTAAATAAATTGCAACATTTGAACAAATTAAAGCTTCCAACAATGAAGTACACGTTTCTGGGAAGTAGAAGCGGCAAACTCTACCTTGGCAGAGCCGATCTGAATCGGGCGAGTCAGATAGAAAGCGAGGAACAGAAGCTAGAACGGTATCACAATAAATCCCCTGAGGTTTGTTGACGGCAATGAGCCACTCATCTTCATATAAAATCTCACTTTTTGAGAGTTCAAAAAGGCTTGATTTTGAAGAAGCTGTCATCGCTCTGGCAAGCTCAATGTCTTTTGAGATTGACGGCAATGGAGGGGATAAAGGTGTTGGGTAATTTTGGAGGGAATCGGAGTTTGAAGACATTCTTGAGCGGAAAAAATGGGTTCTGCGGAATTTGAACAAGGGTTTTGGTCTGTAAAGGAAGAAGCTTTGTTGGGCTTGGAGAAGGGGAAATAAGGGCATTTGTGTCACGTTACATGACGGTTGGTGATTGAATCTTTCAATTTATCAAGCTACTGTAAGAGAGAAAACGGCGTCGTTTTTAGCTCCAGTTGGCCTTTCCCATGGCCATAAACCCTTATTTTCAGAATTGAAAATCAATAGTTCCTCCTAAATCTTAAACCCCAAAAACCAAGAGGGCAAAAATCATACTTTTGGGATAAAAGAAGACTCTTTTCCCCCCTTCTAAACATGTCCAAGAGATTGAGCAATGGGTCTTTTTTCATATCTCAATACATTATAACCAAAACTAGAGCTTTTTGCTCTGTGCAGTCTTTTGATAATTTCCTAGATTCCAATCAAGTTTCCAAGGTTTTTGATCCTGTGTATTCTTCGCTTTTGCATAAGTCACTGAAAAAGACATGGGGGTCCTTTTCTGCTCTTCCAAATTCCATTTTTTTGGGGCCACAATATCAACATTCATTTCATCTACATCGAAATGTGTGGATTTGGGCAAGAGAATTTGGTTCCCAGGTTGCTGTGGAACCTTGTACGTCTGATGGACTAACAGTAGATGGGATTGCTAGCAGTCAGTGGACGATTCTTGAGGAGAGTGAAAGTGATTGGAAGAGTCATGCTGCTGCTATTGCTCAGTCCATTCAAGTTATCAAGAGACGCCTTCAGGTAGTAGTTTTATTAGCATTTGGTCAAATTCTTGTATAAAGTGACTGATGAAGTTTATGCCTTTCTGATTCTTTTTCTTCTTCTTAATAATCGTAATAAATTGACATTTGAAATTGGTATTCTGCTATTGTTCTTCTCTTTAGCAATTTTTTAGTTTATTGTAAACTCTCAAGTCTCATGGTCTTAGACAAAAAAAATTGATGAAGTTTTGATGTTCAATTTCTGCTTTATATATTTGGATTGACTTCCAAGTATGATCTTTCTGTTAATAGATTGCGTTACATGTGTTAAGAACATGCTCGTTAAGTACTTTATTGTCTTTGGATGCAGTGGAAGAAATTGATGGTTAGATTGGTTTTGCTATCTGCAGAGCTTAATAAGCCTGACCTATGGAATGATCCTGTCCATGCCGGTAAGATAAGCCGTGAACATGGCTCACTAATGGGTAAATGAAGAAGTGAAGGCATTTGAGCAAGAACTGCTTGAACATATAGATATGATAAAGCTTGCAAGGGAAGAGAATGACACTGACTTGGAATCGGTGGGATCTCACTTCTTATCTAGGCATGTCTTCATTCTTTTTTAGTGATTAAGGGTTTATTTCTGATAGGTTTGTAAATGAGACTGTAATTACTATCTTTAGGTTTTGTTTCTTCAGATTAATTCTCTATGTCATAATTGTGTATTTTGGTATTGCTGGATTTGTTATTTATACAAAGGAACGGTTTTACCATGAAAAATAACATTAACAATAGAATGACGAGTTATTTACTTTCGTCAAGTTTTGATGAGATAACACTCTATGGTATGTGGTTGTTAACTGTCGTGCAGGGACGTTCTGCTGTTATGATCGTCCTCTGAGTTGAGTCTACGAATAACATCGCTTGTATTTACTAAGCATCTTTTTGTTGGCATCGAGTAGCTGGTTTTTACTTCGTAAAATTTTCTTCTGCAGGAATCAATGAAAGCATTACTAACGATGAGAAGAGATTCAAAACACAAGGAGCTTGAAGCTTTGTTAGCTGGAGAGCATGATTCTTGCTCTTGTTATATAGAGGTTTCACTTATATACTGCTTTGACTGTGTTTCATCCTATAGCTTTATTAATATGTCTATTCTTTTTTAAAAAGAATACGCTTGCCTTACTTACAGTTGAGTGGTATCCTTTTAATCTATTCCTTTATCCCAACAGATAATGAAAATCCGCTGCTTTGTTTTCTTCCAATCTCAACCTTGATATTTAGGTTTACGATGTAGGTGCAAGCTGGAGCTGGAGGCACTGAAAGCATGGATTGGGCAGCAATGGTTATGCAAATGTATCAGTCCTGGGCCCAACGGCGTGGCTATGGAGTAACAGTAGTGGATGAAATGCCTGGTGAGATTGCAGGCGTCAAGGTTTGTCTCTTACCTCTCTTTATCCTTCATTTAAGCAGCACTGGGTATCAGTATCTATTACCTAATTCAGTATAGAACGAAACTAAGCATGCCTAGAGTAACCGACATTCAACAATATCTGGGAACTTTCATGCCAGTTAGTGCTAAGCATGAAGCCCATTGAGGTGTTACCTTTTGGTTTTAATTAAGATTCTTTCGAGAGGCTATAGGTTTTTGACCTTAGGCCGTGTATTCTTTCAGCGAGCAACTATCAAAGTTGACGGTGAATATGCTTTTGGATATGCCAAAGCAGAAGTAGGAGTTCATAGGTTAGTCCGTATCTCACCTTTTGACAGTGGAAAACGCCGGCATACTTCATTTGCTGCTGTTGCTGTAATTCCAATCCTAGGTGATGGGTCTTCCCGTGTACAAATTAATGAATCTGATCTTCGCATTGAACGGTTTCGTGCTGGGGGAGCTGGTGGTCAGCATGTTAACACAACTGAGAGTGCTGTGAGGATTGTTCACATTCCGACAGGAGTAACTGCTACTTGTCAAAACGAAAGGTCTGGATTATATGTCCTCATTGTCAAAACCACTGCAATTTACTTGTGCTAATGATTTACATGGAAACACAGATCACAACATCAGAATAAAGCCTCGGCAATGGCTGTGCTTCAGTCTCGATTAGACCAGCTTGAGATGGCTCGTCAGGCGCAGATGAATTCCCAGCATACACAGTCTCTAACTGAGATAAGTTGGGGCAACCAGATACGAACTTACGTCCTTCATGTATATGCTCTGTTGCACTATAATTTCCTCTGGGACTAGAAACGATTTTGTTAACACTAACTTTAGCTTGCTATCATTTGATACAGCCATATCGCATGGTGAAGGATCTTAGGACCAATTATGAGGTCTCGGATCCTGATTCAGTGTTAGAGGGAGATCTAGACAGCTTCATCTTGAGCTATTTATCTGCTTCATTGGACATAGGTGAAGATGAACAATAAGATTAGCTGCAAAAGATGTTGCTCAAAACTTTCAAATCAATAAACGGAGCCAAATTCATCCAATGTGGGGATCATTATTACATCTGCTGCAACATGTCATGCATCTGAGATATTGTATCTGATTTATTACATGGACTAGCGGGGAATGCTAACGTGTGATGAAACCATATATGATTTTATTTTTTACATAAAAATATATCGAGTATGGAAAAGAAAACGGTGAGTACAAAGTCAAATAGAAGATGAACAGGGATTTTGCCCCAACTCCAACAGTTAAAATATCACGTCTCTCAATTTCACCTCTCACACAGTGATACATGGACACATCAAAGCCGTTGAAAAGCAATCATGACTCTTAAAAATGCGATACATCTAATGCAAGTCACACCTTCACATGTTAGTCTTATGTCAAGTCATTTTATGACATTCGAGGGATACACATATTATACCATCTTCATATTTCAAGATCTCTAAATAACAACTCCTACGAAGAATATCTTCATGGTTGAAGCCTCAAGAGAGTATCTCTGAAAATAAGGTTTATGGAGCCTTACACCTATTGAGAAGTCACGATCTTTTTGACATGATCACTGATAAATCCAATATTATCTATCAGAATCAATTGACAGTGATTACATCAATCGAATCTATCTACCTTATCAACCTACAAAGTCATCAAGACCCTGTGCTTAAGACCAACACTAAGGGTCGTCATAATCTCAATATCAACCAATGGTCACTTGAACAACGATTGCGACACTCAATCCAAATTAAAAGGGTGAACTGAATATGGTTGTCGGGACCTATTTACTCAATCAACAACGTAGATTTATTTTTATTATTATTTTTATTTCAAAATTCATATTAATATAATATAATTCATTATAAAAACTATGTTTGAATGAAAAGGATTTAATTAGTTAATATTATCATACAAGCGACATTAAAACTATATATATAAATATATAGTTACATTTACTACACACTATTGGGTGGAGGTGTTAAGGAGAAATTCGTAATTTAGACATTAATCTGAAAACAATTATAACTGCAAGACCAATTCATGGATGGTACATATAAACGGGTAGCCTGTGATTTTGGAGCAAATGGTTGGCGACTCTCAAGTTTGCGATGCTAAAAATAACCCAAAATCCAAAATATAAAAGCAGGTGCGTGATGGTGATTAGGATCATGTTCTTATAGCTAGGAATATCAGAGAAAAACCACACTTCGGAGGGCTTTCAATTACCTTCGAAGGAGTTGGCAAACAATAAATTTGCTGCCCCTCTAATAATATTGCTTTTTCGACAATGGCTGGCCCTGAGGAGGATTCTCAGGGGACGAAGAGGATCGCGATCATCGCGGTCTCTTCTTGCCTCTTGGTGGCTATGGTGATCGCGGTGACGGTTGGGGTCAGCATTAACGATGAAAACGGCTCGGATGGATCGACCACAAATGGGAACAAAAATGCTCAGATCTCTTCCTCCAAAAAGGCAATCGAACTAATTTGCGAACCAACAGAGTTCAAGGGTACATGTCAAGAACAACTCGAGGAAGAGGCCGGAAATAAGACGGATGTTAAAGACCTGGTCCGAGCAGCGTTTAAGGCCACGATGAAGCATGTGAGTCGAGCTGTGGAGAATTCTACGCACCTGAGGGAACTTGAGAAAGATCCAGGGACCAAAAGTGCCTTAGATGCATGCAAAATTCTGTTGAATTATACTGTAGTTGAACTTGAAAAGTCATTTGATCTAGTTGAGAGGCTAGATGTAACCAACGTTAAGAGACTGTTGGCTGATTTGAAGATCTGGTTGAGTGCTACCATTGCTAACCAACAAGCTTGTTTAGATGGCTTCAAAAAAACAAAATCCAAATCGCATGCTTTCAGAAAAATGAAGATGTTCTTGAATATCACCATGCAACTCAGCAGAAATGGCCTTGCAATCGCATGTGAGTTAGAAGACCAGCTTCAGCATTTGGAGGATGCTGGAGTCTTTACCCGCCGTAGACTACTTCAAGATGATGATGATAGACTTCCGGTTCTAGGCCATTCTGATTGGACTTCTTTTAGAGAGAAGAATGAAGCATGGAATCGTCGTCGGTTACTGCAAGATGAGGATATGCTTCCCGTTCTAGGTCATTCCGATTGGACTTCATTTAGAGAAAAGAATGAAGCATGGAATCGCCGCCGATTGTTCCAAGATGATGATAAACTTCCGGTTCTCGGACATTCCGATTGGACTTCCTTTAGAGAAAAGAATAGAGCATGGAATCGTCGTCGGTTACTACAAGATGATGATAGACTTCCGGTTCTCGGACATTCCGATTGGACGTCATTTAGAGAAAAGAATGAAGCATGGAATCGTCGTCGGTTACTACAAGATGATGATGGACTTCCGGTTCTCGGACATTCCGATTGGACTTCGTTTAGAGAAAAGAATGAAGCATGGAATCGCCGTCGATTACTCCAAGATGAAGATGGACTTCCTGTTCTCGGACATTCTGATTGGACTTCATTTAGAGAAAAGAATGAAGCATGGAATCGTCGCCTGCTACTTGAAGATATTGAACAACGTATGCCACAAAGTGCTCGGAGACTGTTGTCAACTGACTTGAAGCCCGACCTTGTTGTGGCCAAGGACGGCAGTGGAGACTGCAAAACACTAAATGAAGCTAAACAAAAAATCCCCCGCAGATCCACCAAGCCTTATGTCGTATACGTCAAGGAAGGAGTTTACGCCGAGAATGTGGAAATCACTTCCGATATTACACATTTAGCACTGGTCGGAGATGGTAAAGAGAAAACTCGAATCACCGGAAGTATCAGCACCGGTCCAGATGGAAATCCCACTACCTACTTCACTGCTACATTCGGTAATATGCATATTTTTATTAACCCATTCTGTTGGTACTTATATAACTAATGACTGTATATATTGTTTTGTTCTGTTCCTGTATATAGGTATTGACGGAAACAACTTCGTTGCCAAAAACATTGCGTTCGAGAACACAGCAGGGCCACTGAAAGCGCAAGCGGTGGCGGTGAGGGTACAATCGGAAGATTCGGTGTTCTTCAATTGCTCCATAGATGGTTACCAAGACACACTTTACGCTTTCACCAAACGACAGTTCTATCGGGACTGCACCATCTCTGGAACAATCGATTTCGTATTCGGTGATGCATCCGTTATTTTCCAGAACTGCACATTCCTCGTCCGAAAGCCACAAAATGGTCAACAAAACGTTATTACAGCGTCAAAGAGAAGCGACCATAAAGAACCCACGGGGATTGTGATCCACGGCGGCCAAATCCTTCCAGCTCCTGAGCTTGCTCCGGTGAAGGGCCAATTCCCAGTATACCTTGGTCGTCCGTGGGGGAGTCTATCAACAGCAGTTATAATGGAAACTTACATCGACGATATGGTGCACCCAGAAGGTTGGACAAGCTGGGAATCCAGTTCGGGTACCCAAACTTGCACATACCTTGAATTCAAAAACCGAGGTCCTGGTGCTTCCACAAACAACCGTGTTAAATGGCCTGGAGTTAAGATTCTTTCGGAGAATGACGCTGCTAAATACCTTCCACCCAAGTTCTTCGCCATTGGTGACGATTGGATCAAGGAAACTGGAATTCCGTACACCGCAACCTTTGACGTTTCGAATGAAGCCGAGGGAGAAAAGGCTGGTGTGGACTTGGAGAAACAAAAGCTAGGACAACAACTGGAAAAGCAGAAGGAGAAGTACGAGAAAGAGCAAAAGAAAGAGGAGAAAAAGAAGAATAAGGATATGAAGAAGCAAAAGAACAAGAATAAGCATAAGCATAAGAATAAGAATAAGGCCATAAAGAATGATGCTTAATTTCCTCGTATATCTGCGGTCTTATATATTAAAATGATTGCTACAAAGTGCAGCAAAGCAAAGGTTTTTGGTTTTCAAAAATTAAACAATAAATTATTTGATATGGTAGATAAGATACCCACCCATTCTTTTACTATTTTTTCTTTCTTTTATTCTTTATATTGTAATGCTTCTAAATAAATAATTCCACGCATTTTCCCTATTAATTTCAGCATTTTCAATTCCAAGTCCTATATTTTAAAATAAATCCCAAAATTTATGATATTTGAATTTAATATTTAAATTATTAATATATTATTGATTAAACTTTGAACTCATGAAGTAGTTTTAGTGAAAAATTGAATATTGTTTTCTTTAGATATCTTAAGTTCGAACAAGTAAGTCTTCAAGGTTTGTGTTGTTAATTGATTAAGAAAGTTATGAACATATACTGATTTTGTAACACCCTAAAACTCAAAAACCCGAATCCGATCAAGTATGATTTCCTTGAATAAATTTTTTCTATTTATTTTCTATGAAATTCAATTTTTCGACTATGATATTAAATATTTTATGAATTATTTTTATATCGGAAGATTCGTATTTATTTTTAGAAGGCTTAATATAAAAATAAGTGTTCAAACTATATATATTTGCTATTTAGGTACCCAAACTTTTTTTGGAAAATTTAAGTTCCAAATGTTTTCAACGTTATCATTTAGGTGTCTCGGCAGTAATAGACGTTAAAAAAATCACTCAGAATGTGACACGTGACTCATTTATAAAAAATTTAAAAATATATTCTAAAAAAACTTAAAATAATGGCAAACTACATGATTAATCACTCTTGTTTAAGTTTTGTACACTTTTTCTCAATGAATTCAAAAAAATATAAGATTTGGTCACTTTCGTTTTTATTTAATTAAGATGTGGTCACTGGAATTAACTGTCATTATATGCACATTGAAATTATAAAATAAAAAAGAGTAAATTACACAAATGGTCTCTAATGTTTGAGTAAGTTTCTTTTTTCCCTATTGAAGTTTCAAAAATAACAAATTGATAACTAAAACATCAAATAGGTTATTGAATAATAATTTTATATCTAACTTATTCCAAAAGTTTTCTAACTGTTTGTTTATCATTCAAAATATTTGATTCCTTCATGTCCAAAAAAAAGTTAATTTCTAAGTTGTTATTTTTAAAATTTTAAAAGTATATATATATATATAGGAAGAAAAATGGAACAAAAATAGAAAGCTTTGGGGGTAAATTACATATGAAATCATCGTTCAAGGAATTATTTGATGTTTTAGTGACTAATGTTACTTTTGAAACTTTAGTGAGGAAAACAAAAACTTACTCAAACATTAGTGACCATTTGTATAATTTACCCTTTTAAATTTATAAATTCACTGTGCCACGTCAGCAATCCATTAAAGGTCTAACTATAGTTAACTCTAAGTGACCACATCTTAATTAAATCAAGACGAAAGTGACCAAATCTTATGTTTTTTAATTCATTAAGTAAAATTGTACAAATTTTTAACGAAAGTGATCAATCATGTAGTTTATCCTTAAAATTATTATTATTTTTCAAAAAAATCTAAAATCTCAAAATTCTTAACCCTAAAACATCCACCCCACTCGTCGACCATCCACCGTCGTTGTCGCCCCCACTGGCAGCATGTCCACCCACCGACCGCCGTCAATTGTAGTTTCAAACCCCAAAAAATCTCTAAACCCAAATCCTTAAATCCAAACCCTAAATCCTTAAATTCCAACACCCATCCATCCCAATCGGTGGATGAGTGGTCGAAGGGTGCTTGGTAGGCTGGTAACTGGCGGGTGAATCAATAATCATCGACGGCGGTGATGATCAGTGCTAAAATTGAAAGTCTTGTGGTATTTTATGAAAAATAGGAAAAGTTTGATTTTTTTTAATTATGAAATTTTAAAAAAATTTAAGGAAATAAAAAATCAAGCCACGTTTCAAACACTGAACGATTAATTTATTTTTAACGAATTTTTTTAATGGTCGTTATGACGTAGGCACCTAAATGATCACCAGAGATTTAAATAACAGTTGCGGTCGCATTTTCGGTTGCGTTTATCATGATTGCGGACATAGCGGGTGCTATTGCGGCGATTACATGTCATCATCACTATTAAATCTTTAACGGTGAGGGATTAAAATGAAACCAAAACGTAACGTTAAGTATGATTTTGAAATAAAAAATAATTGGATGATCAAAACGGAATAAAAGTACTAATCGATATACTAAACGTGTAATTTACCAAAAAGAAGTTATTTTCATTTGCTTTTGAATGTTACGGTCTTTTTTTACCTTTAATGGTCAATTAATATGTTAATGCAGGCTGGTTAATAGCAAAGTTAGGGGTGTGCAAAAAATCAAATCCGATTGATTCAATTCGTTGGTATGTTGATCTGATGCGAAAATTCAGATATCTAATCTGTTTTTTATTTTCAAATAATTGAATCAGATACAGATCGAATAAATTTTAATTTTAAATTATCCAAAAATAAAAAATGGGCTTTTAGATTTAGATACATTTTAACCCAATAAATGAGTAACCTACTAACTCATTAAAACTCTAACCCAATAAAACTTAGAATATTTAATTATTTATTATGCATGAGTAATTAAATATATATAAAATTATTTTTTATCAAATTAAATTTTATATTCAGATTCAGAAATTAAGATCGAATTCGATATCAGAATTTGCACACTCGTAAATAAAACCCTTTCGGTTTATGAATAAGCCTGGAATATAATAAGGCAGGCTTTTTTTTTTTTAGAATTTGATAAGGCAAGATCTTAGATCTTAAGCAAGTTTTAGATAAATACTAAACAACATAAATTAAATATAATATTGCAAACTCAACATGTGTTATGATTAAGCTGTTGGCACTTGCGAAAGAACATACCTTTCTTGTTTTAAATAAAAAATAACACATCTTCTCATTTGTTACTCAAAAGGATTAATCAAACACTCCTAATTATTTACCTTTGCTTCTAACAATATTCATTTCGCCCTTTCTCTTAAAACAAAAAAGCTAATAATTTTTAAAATTCAGAATCGAAGTTAATATCGAATATAAAAAGAGATAAAATTTTATTAAATATTTAAATTTATAATCTAAAAGAAATTTATACTTTATTTTACTAATATTTAAATTAATAAAAACACATTCTACCAACAACAAAAACATCACAACCTTATTCACCCAACAAAGGGCTCCATCCCAGCTTACACCTAATCTACTATTGGAGTATTACGACAAAAGTTGGAGCCAATTCCATTTTCTCTGGAGATGGCATAACGTCAATGGCTTACCAACAAACATTTTTTAGTGGACCCTTTTGTTGTTAGTCTATCGATGAATAATGTTATTATATATTTTAATTTTTTTAATTAAAAGTATATTTTTATCTTTAAAATTTATTAAATTTATTGTCTTTTAAAATTTTAAAAAAATATTTTTTTAATTTCGAATTATTGGAGTTGAGTTACTCGAATTATTAATCAGATTTTTGAGTTCGAATTTAAAATTTTAAAATTTTGAGTAACTCAAAAAATTGAAAACTTGAATAAGTATTTTAATAGATTTGTGATTAAATTCATGATTTTCTATTCGTTTATTTTCTCCTTCATTATAAGTTAATTTTTTTATCGAATTTCAACCAATGTGCTACTAAACCATCATAAAATATATATGTACTTTTAACTCTTCTTTTTGATTAAAAAAGATTTTTTATTTTTTAATTTAGTCTATCAATTTTGCACGATTTCTAAATTCTTCAATTCATCCTTGGTTTTCAAGTTTGTTTTTGGTCAAATTTGAACCACATGCACCCCTATCAATATAGAATACTTATGTAACTTCAATTCTTTTTTTATTATTGAAAATGTACTCTATTTTCTCAATTTAATCCCTTAATTTTGTATTTTATTTAATTTGATATTTTAACTACAATTGTTTGTAAATTATTTTTTCACGTCAATTCATTGACTCCTTTATACTCTCGTACATCATTTATCCTCAAAATACACACTTTAAAATATAATATTATAAATATATTTTTATATTTTTAAATTATATTTAATTTATCAAATAACATTATAATTTATAAAAGAATATGAATATATATATGGTTAGATAAAGTTAAAAAAATTAGAATCAATCCATACAATAAAACTTGAAAAAATTTCAAATTAAGTTTAAGTGATAAAATACAACTTATAAACTCGGATAACTCAAAATTTTTAAGTGAACTAGTTCGAATTCTCACTTCTAACCCTTACCTTTGCAGTTTGAAGGTTTCAAACCAAATTGGGCATGAAGAATCTTCTTTGATCAATTTATTTGCTTGTAGTAAAGTTTGGCTCTTTTGACCCTTTTGACTCTGTTCATCTTAATAAATTTATACCGGAAATTTCCTTTTGAGTTTTTTGGGTCCTTTTTGTTTCATGTAAAAAACCTTTTTTTTAAAAAAAAGTTTCAAGAAGTAACCCTTTTCTCTTTCTATGAGTTGTTTAAGCCTTTTTGCTTCATTTCTCCCTTTCTCTCTATACCTTTTTTTTATCGTCTCTCTCAATAAGCACATAGAAGGGAATTGAGTGGGTGGTAAGTATCATCTGTATTTTTGGTAAGAAATTGAAGGATAAAAAATGATGATGATGACAATGGAAGGAATGATGGACGAGGGAGTATTGGATGATATAGTAAGAAGGTTGTTGGAAGGTAAAGGAAGCAAACAGGTTCAGCTCTCTGAAGGAGAGATCCGTCAGCTTTGTGTTAATGCTCGTCAAATCTTCCTTTCACAGCCTAATCTGCTTCAGATTCATGCCCCCATTAGAATCTGTGGTCAGCCCTCTCTCTCTTCTATTCATTTAGAAATTGGTAGCTCCTGATTTTGTGCTTCTAGTTTATGCAAATTAATGGATTGGTTGTTTTCCTTGCTAAAATTCTCATTGCATCAACTTTTGAAGAGAATTTTGGAGTTCTTTCTGGTTTCTATCTAGATTGTTGAATTCTGGGGAATTTCAGAACAGTCCTGTGTTGGAGGCTTGTTTCTACATAGTTTGCCTTGAGATATCAAATCCAGGGACTTAAATTGCGATCGCCTTGGCTTGCGTTTATAGTAGGTGTTATTGCGGTCACTGCAGGCATCGCGGTAGTGCAAAAATGGTTTCGCACGATACCTTCACCGTTGTATAACAGTAGGGGACCACTATTTAAATCTCTGATAATATCCAGCAATTGATATTTTCTTTACTATTTCTTTCTTAGTCCAATTCAACTTGCTTTCTGTGTGGAAATGATTGTAATGAAGTATGTAGGTTGGTTGAATGAGATGAATTTGGGAACAAATCTCTTTCCTATGTTTGTGTTTATGATATATCAAAAGAAAAAAGTTGCTTATTTTGATGTTATAATGTGATATTTTGCCCTTGGACTTCATGAACAATCCTTAATCTTGTGCATTTTAACTCACCTTTTACAGGTGATATCCATGGACAATACCAAGACCTCTTAAGACTCTTCGACTATGGCGGCTTTCCTCCCGCTACGAGCTACCTGTTCCTTGGGGATTATGTGGATCGAGGCAAGCTAAGTTTGGAGACAATATGTTTGCTTCTGGCCTACAAGATTCGTTATCCTGATAAGATTTTTCTCTTAAGGGGAAACCATGAAGATGCAAAGATCAATCGAATTTATGGGTTTTATGACGAGTGTAAAAGGAGATTCAACGTTAGGCTTTGGAAAATATTTACGGATTGCTTTAACACGTTACCCGTGGCTGCACTCGTTGATGAGAAGATACTTTGTATGCATGGAGGGTTGTCTCCGGAGTTGGAAAATTTGGATCAAATCCGGGAAATTCAGAGGCCAACAGAGGTTCCCGATAATGGTCTCCTCTGTGATCTCCTTTGGTCTGATCCTGATCCCAAGGTTGAGGGCTGGGCAGATAGTGATAGAGGAATTTCATCTACTTTTGGACCAGATGTAGTTGCAGAGTTCTTGGACAAGAATGAACTTGATCTCATTTGTCGAGGACATCAGGTAATCCGGTTTCTTTTAAGCAAATAAACACTGGTTACGAATATATGGTTGTAGTTTAGTGTGTGCAATGGAGCTTTTATTATCCAATTTCAGTATCAAATAAGCTTGAGTTTGGGTAAAAACCAGTCTAGTTCATACCCCTCATATAAATTGTTTAGAAACACCCATCTAGTTGATCTTCCCTGAAGATTATTTTAAAACCCCGGTCGAGTTAAAGGATCTAGCATCTCTTGGCTCTGTTTGCGTGGAAATGCAAGAACTGTAAAAATTGTTAGCGCCAATTTTCCTAAACATTGATAAGTAATCTTTGTTATCTACAGATTTCCAGGTTGATAATGTAAGTTGAGATCACCCTCAAAATAGTTGTCGGAAAAGGCTAGACGGTAACATGCATTTTGATGACCTCTAATGTACCGCCGGCCATCCTTTTGCAATCTATACTCGCAGATTAGCCTTGACAATACGACCAATAGGGACGGGACATTATTAGTTATTTCATCCGACTTTATCGAGATTGAGATTTTTCAATGAATTGCAGGTTGTGGAGGATGGCTACGAGTTCTTTGCTAGCCGAAGATTAGTAACAATATTTTCAGCTCCAAACTATGGCGGAGAGTTTGACAATGCTGGTGCTTTATTAAGTGTTAATGAAGCTCTTGTGTGTTCCTTTGAGATATTGAAACCCGCTGATAATAAATCGTCATCGAGTGGTTCGAAACCCCTGAAGAAGGTACGTAGAACCGAGCAAATACTAGACTTTTGAAAGATATAAAATACCAAATTCGATGAGCGTTCAATTGAATATGATCTCTATTGTATTCTCAACAGCCACCAAAGATGGGAAAGGCTTGATGTTCCATGATGTAGGATTTTCTGGGGATGTCATTCTGCTCAAATCCAAGTTTGAATTCCTCATCATACAACGCATGGCTATACGAGTAACCTTGGATGAGATGGATTCTTTACTGGCAACGATATCATCGGGAAAGTCTGTAAATTAACCACCCACTTCACTATTGTGCAGTAGTAAATAAATTTCTTTTGCATTGGACAATTTTCTAATCATCATCAGTGTAAGTACCCTGTGTATGGATGCATTTGTGTTGAATATACTGTCATGTTTGATATACATAAGAGATAAGTTCATTTGTTACGTAAATTTTAGAATAGCAGGGTTCTAACAAAACTCCGTAATGTTTGTATGCATGTTGTTTTAGTTTTCCTTGTAACCATAACACATTGTCAAGGACATGGTAGAAATAAAGTACATTTGTTAAACACGCGTTAATTGTTAGGGGTGCAAATGAAAAGAGTTCATATAAAGTTCGTTTATATTCATTTATTAAGTTAAATAAACGAGTATGAATAAAAGTTTATATTCATTTAATAAACGAATGAACACGAACAAAGATGTGTTCAATTTATTTATATTCATAAATAAACTCATTTATTGACTTGTTTATAAGCTCATTTACTTGAGTTCCCTTTTTCTTTTATTTTTTATATTTAAAACGTCGATGAATATAGGGATTAAATTGAACATAAGGTGAACTTTGAAGTTCAAACTGTGAATCTTAAGGAACTTAAGGAATAGTGGCATAATTTCACCATTGTTTTGACCTGCAAATAAAAGGAAAAAACTAGTGTTGATTGTGGAATATTAAAATAACATGTTTACTTGATTTATTGACGTGATATATTAAATTGTTTAGATTTGTTTACTTGATAAATTAAACGAATATACTCAATTTAACATGTTTTATATTCATTTAATAAACAAACGAACACAAATAAAGATGTGTTTAATTTATTTATATTCACAAATAAACTCATTTATAAGCTCATTTATTAACTCGTTTACTTGATTTTCCTTTTTCTTTTATTTTTTATATTTTGAATATGGATGAATATAGGGATTAAATTGAACATAAGATAAATTTTGAAGTTCAAACTATAAAACTAAGAAATTAAGGACTAATGGCATAATTTCATTATTGTTTTGACTTGCAAATAAAAAGATAAAAAGAAAGTATTGATTGTCGAATGTTAAATGAACATATTCATACATATTAAATAATTATGTTCGCGAACAATAACTTATTGTCTCCCTTGACAAATCTTTCAACGTCACAGATATTAACATTTAAGGATAATTAAAGGGCACTTCTTTCTAAATCTATCCATATCAAGGACAATTTGCCTTTAACAAAAAGTCAACTACAAACGAGTATTCTTGACAAATCTTTCAACGTCACAGATATTAACATTTAAGGATAATTAAAGGGCACTTCTTTCTAAATCTATCCATATCAAGGACAATTTGCCTTTAACAAAAAGTCAACTACAAACGAGTATTCCAAACTCTTAAAACAGCAAAGCCAAACTTTTTTATTTTTGCTATGATTTCACAATGGAACTGCAAAATTAGGCTTATCTTAATGGGTAATATATTTATCTGATGCTACTGGTTGAGGAGGATGGTTCACGAAAATCTTCATGATCAGTCAAGCACTCAGGTCAAGTTCTTGTGAACTTCAAGGATACCAACCTGCAGAAATTACATAAAGGAAAGAAAGAAAAAGTGTAAACAATAAGAACTCACTGGTGGGAATCGAAAACCGTTGAAGAATTTAAGTATGAATTCTTGCAGATTCTAATATAACATTCGGAGAATGGCAGCGATGTTCATCTTCGGTTTTCTTTCCTATTTCCTTGACTAGAAGAAGGAGCTGTCTGGTTCATCTTGCCCTCAAGTCTCCTTGCAGTTGCAGCTCGTTGAATAGCTGCAAGCTTTTGGCGATGGTTATGGCTCTTTCTTTTGCTGCACAGTCATTGGAATTACGGAAGTAGTAAACGATTATAAGATAACTCATGAAAAAGAGAAACCGAAAAACTAGAATTGAATTCCATTTAGCAAATAAATCACAGGTCCGAAGGATAACTTAGTGATTCACAAGAGGAAGTAATTCAACCTTGCAAAAAGTAGGCCCGCTGTAAGAACCTGGCCTCCTACTGCCCAAGAAACTCTTTCGTTAGACGGCATATCCTGCAGCCACTGCTCGAAATCTTCTAAGAGACCGAAGTTGCAGGATTCGTGGGGCTCCTCAGTTCGTGAAGCTCCCCAAGAATCAGCAATTAAATCAAGACTAGCTTTGCCACCATAACAAGATGCTTCTTCGTCACCACTGTGCATGTCGAAAGATTGTTCAACACCAAAACCTGCAGCAAGGCATAGTTCTGTTCCATTGGATGCCCATTAAGATGCTTTACCACAAACAAAGTCATTTACTCCGCATGGTGCTAGAACCTGACAAAAGGTTTCTATGTTTGAATTAAATCTAAGGGAACATCTAAATCGAAAAGTTACTGAACCAGCATGACACAGATAAACTCAAAATATCTCCAAGGCTTAAACACAATCATTCCTTAGCACGACAGAGAAGATGTTCGACCTCAAATGATGGGAAGGACCACGAAGGTAACCATCCTGACCAACAGATCATCCACCACAGCCTAAGTGCGGCTAACTCTACAGTTTTGGAACTAAATCTAGGGGAGCATCGAATCAAGAATACTCTAACCCCCATTAGTGCATGATGTTCATGTGGTAATTAACTATCTAAAAGATATTAGACACACTTGTCTACCTGTGTCTTTGCATCCATTGAGAAGTAAGCATTAGAGCAGGCCAGAAATACTCCATTGCAGAAAGACCTGCATATAAGCGGGGTCCGGGCTTAATGCCGACTCTTGGATCACAGGTGGAGCATTCCAGCAATTCCCACAAATGCAAACACTCTTGGCTGGCTTCCCCTGTTAAAGCCAGCCTCCTAATAGAAAGCAAAGGAGGATGTGTCTGGGCAGCATCACAGCAAATCTTTTTTCGAAACAACCTACAAAGTGTCAAATCTTTGTGTCCCTTCCCCACCCTATTCGGAGGTTTCCCCTTCGATGAGAAGGGCGGGAAATGGCCACCTTGGGACACGCAAACACCATTGGTTTTTCCTGTCTCAATACAAAGTAAATGGATTTAACATGCTGCAGCTCCTTAGAACTATAGAGTGTTTTTTTAAGCATGACCCTTTCCTACTTTGGAAATCATTTATCAGGAAAATGGGAGGCTTCTCAGAGTAAAAACACATGATGAAGTTAAAACTTGAAAGCAATGTCTACAATCTACATATAGTACTCTTAACACATTCACATAGATAAATCAGCTAATTTTGAAGGTTAATCTCAATAAGAAATTAACAAACTAAAGACAAAACAAAAGAACATATTCCATAATCTAAAGCCAACTAAACAAACAAATTAAATAAATAAAGCCTTCACTTGATTGATCCTTTCATAAAAAAATAAACCCAAAGCATAATTAATGCCTAATCCCAACCCTAAGCCATGAATGAATAACTTGAAACAAAATCAATTCAAGTATCAATAAAAGGGAGAAATCCAAAGAAAAAGACTGATGCTAAAGAACCCTCATAAAAAAAAAGTTTTGTTTACCATAGGAAAAGGGGAAAAGAAGGTTGAAGAGGAGTAGAAATATAAGAAAACCAAGTTCAGTGTTCTTCATTGCTTTTATTTGTACTCTGATTTTTGAGCTGTGAAAGGTTGAGAATACCCAGAAAACGTTGGGGGGATCATACATTACAGGTGCCGGTGATTGAGAAGTTAAAAAAGAAGATCAAACTGGAACAGTCGACGAGACCAGCATAGACTAAAAAACAACATTAGCCTCAGGCACTCACCTGATAGTTCTCCTGGGTTTTGTGGTATTCGTTTGCCCAAGTTTGTACATCTGACCCGATCTATTATCCGGATCATGCTACCTACTAAACTCATGGCTAAATTCAACGGATATTCTCTTATGTTTTTTGTCTGAGCAATTTTAATTATCGATTAAAAAATATAGTTTTCATTCCTAGCGTTTTTGATGTGTTCGATTTTAATCCATCGTTAACTCCTGATGATTCAATTAACTAAAGTTTAAGTTGACGATTAAAAAAATGTAAAAAGAATACATTTCTTCTTTTTCTTCTTAGTGACGCAAACTTAAACGATGGTTAGATTTTGGAAACACCTCCACAATTGCATTCTGCAAAGCCTTGCACTTGTATGTAATAATGGTTTGAGGACACTGACACACATGAAGAGAAACACCCATCTCTCAAAATCATTAGATCTTTCCTTCTCGAAATCGGGAACCTATATTTCTTTTGCAGTTTGTAATATATACAACGAGACATTGTTTCATGTTTCAGTGAAAACGCAGTACATGTTTCGCATTCTTCATGTTCTAGCTATTCAAACAATGCTTGCATCTTTCCGAGCCTAGTGCCATCGGTCTAGAACACAGTCACCGGAATTTATAGAATCGTTCTTTTAACCGACAAGCAGTGTTATATCAAGGTCACTTGGTGCAAGAATCAAACTGGTGGTTATGGCCTAACCATAAACTTTGGTGATGAGTGATGATCCTTCAACGTGTTTCAAGCTCAACACTAATTTGAGGTTCTTTAAGAAGAAGAAAGGCAACAAAGTGATCGAATCCAATCATTTGAAGATTGAAGTCTTTTGGGATCTTTCCACCGCTAAGTACTATACCAGACCCGCCGCCACCCGTCCCCTCTAGGTCCATCCCTGGTTGATTTGGAGATTGTTCTTGTTTTAGGCGATATGGCGGAAGAAGCAGTCACCGAGAAGATCAAAAATACAATGCCCTCATTTCCAGGCAAGAACATTGTTCGGGCAATACACTTTCTTCCACCAAGGCTCAATGGAATTGAATATAATATTTTAATCAGACGCAACAGAGAACATGAAGGCATGAAGCATCCGGTTTTATCGGTCAGTTATAAGAAGACGGTGATAAAAGTACAGAGGCTTCAATGGAATTTTAGAGGAAACCAAACTTCTCTTGCAATCAAAAAATGCAAAGGAATGATTTAGCATCCAAGTTTACAGTAATTTTATGTAAAATGTATTATATTAAAAATGGTAATATTTGGGATAAACTTTATGTAAAACTGGAAGGAAGGACCACCAACATCTGTTACATGTCAAAGCTTGTACAAGTTTTAAGTTTGGTCCAATAAAGCCATTCACAACTTATAACCTACCAATCTAATTTAATTTTATCATTGCCATGCCCAGCCACCACACATGAATATCGAAACACCCCCCCTCCCCAAAAAAATAAACCACATTATTTAAGGTATAATATCAAAATTAGTCCCTACTGTTTATAAAAATGATCATTTTGTCTCCTAATCTTATTTTTAACATTTTGGCTCCCAACGTTTCCTTTTAGGGTAAAAAGTCTCTTTGACAAAATAATTATTTTGTTCCTTATTCTTTTTTCTCGATGCATTTTAACCCTTAATGTTTCATTTTAAGTTAAAAACCTCCTGTTTTAGAATATTTATTGTGTGTTAACTAATAATTTTCAAGTTTTTTTTCTCCCAAAATGAAATGTTACGCACCCAAATACTAAAAAAGGAATATTGATCAAAATGATCGTTTTAGTAAAGATTGAGGGCTATTATTTAAACCATTACGATGACAAATAAAAGCAAATGTTTTTTCATTTGTTAAAATCATTTTAAGAATCTTATGATTTTTTAACATGATTGCAAAAAAAATAGAAGATATTTAAAGAAGATTAGTACAAAACATTTTTTAAGATGTTAAATTTTCAATGTATTTAGTAATTTACATTGTTACATAAGAACATGAAATACTGCAATCATATTAGTTTTAATTCTTAACTATTAAAATTTTAATTTTTTATTTGAAATTTACGTTGATTTTTACTTTTAAAACGTTTTGATTTTAATTTTTAATTGATCCGGCTCCTCCCTTAATCGGATCTTTTTTTTTTCAAAACCTAATTTTATCGATGCGTCATTCATCCTATTTTCTTTTTGTTTTTATTGATCCGCACCGACATCAAATATAATATTGATTGTCAACTATTTGTATTATTATTGTTATTTTATTTTTTTATATTACATCTTTATTTTATTTTTCTCGATAAATCTGTATGTATATCACGTTTTCATCTATTTTTATAGTACGTTTTTCTCTGCCTTTTGATACGTTTTTTGTCGTTGTTTTCATTTATCTTTTTCTAAGTGTTGATTTAATATCGCCACGACTGATCAAGATGACGCCTATCTATTATCTTGTTGATTTTCCCTGATTTGGGCCCTCGAATCGAATTTGGGTATCCTATTTGCATTCGTGGATAGCTTTTCACGTCGTTCGAGTCTGATTTGCGATTTATCAATGATCTTTAAGTAGTTTGATAATCTTTTGTGGTTCATTGCCGATGCGATCAAATATATTTATATGTATCTTTGTCTGAGTTTCTTAGTTGGATTTTAATCTTTTCTTGTATAGTCCTTATTGAATCTTAAGCGACTAATTTTATTTCAATTATTACAATAAATTGTTTTAATTATATACTTAACTTACAATTATAATTATAGATTTCTATTGTAATTCGAAATATTTCATATTTTTAATAAAACTAATCATTTATATAAAAGAAACGTTTTAATTAAAAAATATTGAAGTTAATGTAAAAAGTAAGATATTTGAAGCATAAATTTTATGTTTGGTTTAAAAGGGGAGGGCTTTGAATTTGATTCATTGGGTGGACCCAACATCATTATTCATTTACCTACCAATTCTTATGAACATGTCATTTGCCCCTTAATTTAATCAATCCAACATGGAAATAAATTCAAGATACATACACCATATTATTCATATTCAAGATTTATTTTTTTCTTTTTAACAATTTTTATTTGGAAAGAAGGTAGGAAAAATGTTGATTCTAATAAATATTGAACGCATAACTTAGGGGAAAAGGAAAATATCAACCTATAACTTTTAACCACTTATTCTATAAATTATGGACTCATATTAAATATATTTTTACTATATTTTATGAAAATCATCGTATGATATTACAAGTTCTAATGAGATAACATTATTAAAATATTACTCATAAAATATTTAATTACTGAAATAACACACAAAAATTATTTTTTAGAATGACAATTATTTCGATCACATAAGAAGAAGGCGTGTCTACTTTATGAAAGGCTCATGTGATAGGTTATATGGGTTGGTGTCATGCATGATCAAAAAAAAAAATTGAGCCAAAAATTACATAAAATTTAATTAAAAGAATTATGACAATTTGTATAATTTTAAAACGCTAAATTGGTGATAAAACATTTTAGAAAAATAATAAATATTGAAGTTGATTTATGAATTTTATATAAAATATGAATTTAATATTTTTTATAATATAAAATATTATAAAAGGTTTAGTTGAAATTATTGTAAATTTTATAATTAAAAATTTCACAAAATATTAAAAGATTATTTATATATTTTTATTTTGATTTTGATTTTATATTTAAAATCATTATTTTATTTAAAATAGGTATAAAATATTTTATAATTTCTAATAATTTTAAGTAAATTTTCTATAATATTTTATTTTTAATATATTGTAAAAATATTAAGTATCAGAAATCAAATTAAACACTATTAATTACTTTTTCTAACATGTTAGTGGCCGATTTATATAATTTTTGACTTTATAATTTATTTTTTTCATTTTAATCTTCGATAACATCAATGTTCAAGAAAGAAACCCATATGATATGTCACGTAAGTAGAGACTCTACCACATAGACATGCATTTATGTGACGAAAATGCGTACCATTAACAATAATTTTTTAGAGACACATTAAAAATAAAATTGAAAAAAATAATACTAACAGTATGAATGTCATCAATCTCTCCACATCTCAATTATTTTTCCTCATGTATGACAATCAAACCCCAATTAAAAGAAGTGAAATCTGAAAAGGAAATAGTTGCTATTTATTTTTCAAGTAAAGAAAGAAAAGGCTCAGCCCCTGCACCTTGTGATACGGCTGCACCCACGGTTGTAAGGGTTGGCCTGAGCTCCGGGCTGGCAATTGTAATAGGAAGCGCCACGGCGGGAGCAAGGTACGGTGTCCCCCCGGAGTGCGCCGTAGCTAATGTACCTGGTGGTCTGTAAAATGCGGCGGCTAATCTCCGAGTCCAACTCAAACTCTTCTGAGCATTCGCCTATGGAACCGTTGCATGCGGATCCGGTGGTGGTGGTTGTCGGCAGGATTACGTGGTGTTTGTGGTTATCCCCACTGGCATTGACGGTCATCATCATCGCTGCCGACGCCATGATCATAGCAGAGACCAAAACAAGCTTACAAGAATTGAGTACTACTACTACTGCCATTGAAATTCCACAAAAAACTTGCTCTATAACTCTTTGCTCCCTGATTTCTTAGCTTTGAACTACTAATCTGAGTTGCTGTGGTTGTTCTCTTCTGCTTTCTGTTTGGTGGTGGGCTTGTTTTCTATTTCCTCTCTCTGTTTCTTCGAATTTTTAAATTAAAGATGAAACTCAAAATGAGATGGTTGTCGACTGCTGATTATAAAGATACGGTTACTTTAAATGACACTCACCTGGCTCATTATTACATGTATGCCATTTTCTGTGATTTTGAATAAAAACGCAAGGGTAACCGATTTGGGTGGAAAAAAAGATTTTATATTTTGAAAAATAAAGATAGATTTTCTTTTTGAAATTTGAAAAAAAAAAATATAGTTAGAAAATAAAATATTATATTTCAAACTAAAGATAGTAATAAAAACAAACTAGTATAGCGAGGATAAGTTAGTGGTTGTTTTAGAGGATTTGGTTAGTGTTTTTGTATAATTAAATCACTCAACTTTAAATATCAATATCAGAATTCGATTATTATAAATATTAGAGGTATAAATATTTAATGTCAAAAAATTAATAATTATCTTTAAACATATATTATATTATACTTATCTCATATTAATATTACTCTATATTAATAATAAAAAAACTTTAAACATCGATTTTTTAATAACTAAAGACGTTATTTTAAATCTAAAAAAATGAATTTAAACTAAAACTACGTCATTTTGATTCCATATAAAAAGCTATTTTCTGCTCTTTCCTCATTTATTCATTCCTTTTTTACCATCTTTCCTCCCCCACTTATCTAACTTTCTGCTCATTTCGCTCATTTTCCTTCCCATTTCTCTCCTCCTCTCCTCCTTTCTTTCTTTTTTCTTTTACATCCCCTTTTCTCATCTCAGTTTGAAAAAAATCCACATTCTGATCATCACACCGGTTTGTCCCAAAACGCCACGCGATTTTGGATTTTTTAGTTAGATAGATATGGGTCAAGGGGTTACGAGGGTTTCTGGTAAGAGGGGTTGGTCTAGCACCTTGTTAGTGATAACGGGGGTGCACTGGTGAATCTGGGCAGAGGCTAAATTGACGCGCGGCCAGAGGAGGTGCGCCAGGAGCGAAGCGGTTGGGACAGTGGTTCTCCAACAGTAGTGCTCAAGGCAATGTTGCGTGGCTCTCATCTAATAGAGGATGCAAGGAATTTTCGATTTTGTTGTTGATTTTTTATTTTTATTTCTGATTTGGACATTGAGATTTGGTTTAGAATATTGTGTAGATGGTTGAACGTTTGGATTTGGAGTCTGGGTTTAGGTTAGGGACAACTAGGTTTCCTTTCAGGATGATAGGCGAGAGTTTTTTCTTGCATTGCTTCTGATTCCTTTTTTGTTTTAGATTTGGAGTCTGGGTTTAGGTTAGGGATACAAGAGTGTTGTGTCGATTGTGTGGTTGAGAAATTCCCATGTCATCACAGAGTTAGAAAGTAGAGTGACCAAAACAATTCAATGTTCAAAGTCGAGTGATCAAATTAAAAAACTTTAAGACCAAAATATGAAAGAAAAGAAAGTACAATGACGATTTAGTAATTTACCCTTGGAAAGCCATTGTCCATTTAACTTCTCTTTTCATATCATTCCACGTTTCTACTCGATCAATCACACTTTTAATGAAGTTTAATGGAGTTGTTGATCTCTATTACTCTACTATTAATGGCAACTAATATCCGATCCGAGCAACTAACCTCAACAATGAACGTATTGTCCATGTTTCAACAATCTTTCTCTCCATTGTCTCACCATAGAAGCATACAGTTTAAAGTTTTAGTTGGGGTTTGAATTTAGTAAGTATTTATTTTTAAATGATTCTTTGATGATGAAATAGAGCGTTGTTAACAAGTGAAAAGGAATTTGTGGGAGAAAGTGGAGAAGAAAACTAGAACGAGTTCTGTAACAACATGTGATGGTTTGTAGATAGTTCCGATAGTTATAAACTTATAATGCTAAAATGAAGAAAAAAAATCTAATAGGCCCTTATCTATAAGTTAAAAAATGGAATTTATAAAACTAGCTGTTAAATAGGAGTTATGAGAGTAAATTTTCAGTTATAAATACTTTTATTAATAAACGTTTGAGTTTTTAGTAACGGTGAATGGTTAATTGTAATCAAGATTTCACTATATATTTTAAAGAAATATCAATATTGCTAGAAAAGGTTAATAGGAGACCTCTTGATTAAGGTTGCTTATCAAGTGACTCAACTGTGAGTTGAATGTTTGATTTGTGTTCGTTTAAAAATTTTGTTGTTCGACGCATTGGTTGTTAAGCTTATTAAAATTTTGTTTGACTCAACTCGTTAAGCTCACTAGAATTTTACCTTATTTTTTTAACTATACGTAAAATCTACTAATACTATATAGAGCTTAATATAAACATGAATTAACAAATTTATCAAAAAAATTATCAAAAGAGTGTATGAAACAATTTAAAAGCCCAAACTTTAAAGTTAACAATCAACAAATACATCAAACTAGTAAATTAATAGATTAGTAAATTAGTCATAATTATTAATTAGTAATTTATCTATTAACAAATCAATAATTATTATTTAGATTTTTTTTGAATGAAATAACTTTTTCAGGTAATTACTAAAAAATTATAAAATAATAACGAACTGCTTGTGAACTTACTAAGTCAGGTTGGACCTTACTCGACTCAATTCCTTAAAATCTAGAGTCGAGATCGAGTTTGATTCGAATCAATCCAAATCTAATATTAACTGAGTTTTAATTAAATCAAATTCGAACAACTCACGAGTTACTCAACTAATTAAGCGATCATACTCTTAACTACTTCCATATCTAGAGATGGGCATCGAACTCGGATTCGACGAGTTCCAACCCGATCGAGTTGGATTTTTTTTATAAAAAAAAATTTGGGGTCGAGTCATGTGTTTTTAGAGGTTGTGTTCCGGACAGGTCAGGTTCGAGTTTAGGATGAAAAATACCCTACCCCAAAAAATATATAATTTTACCTTTATATTTAAGGATAATTTCAATAATGCATCTCTCTATATATTTTTTAATTAAATATATATTTTTATTGAAAAATAATATTTTTTAATAAATATATTATTTCGGGTCGGGTCGAGATCATGTTTTATCTCAAAAAGTCGGATTGGATTCATGTCGGGTGGAGGGTATATATTTTTCGGGTCGGGTCAGGTTTGGGTGGAGGATGTGTAATTTTGGGTCGGGTCGTTTTAACCAAAAATTCGACCCGACCTGACCCAACCCATGCCCATCCGTAGCCATATCTAATTGAAAGAATATTTAAAAATAAAGACGACACAAAAATCTTAGTCATATTTTGCTTTGAAAAAAATAATCTGATATAACTATAAAACATATTTTCCAGAAACATCTCTCGAAGAATGTGTTCTTAATTCTATTTTAATCATTGAAATTTACTTCTTTGTTTTAAAAAATTTAATCATAGTATTGTCAAATTTCTCTCGTTTTAGTCACTCAACGTTTTATGTCTTTTAATCATAGTATTAGATATATAAATTTGTAAATACCATAGTAGAACATGTTAGATTATGTCTTTTAATTTGAAATTTTAAGAATTAAATATGTTACAATACTAATTATTAATAAATTACATTATCTTTTCCAAATTAAGGACGCGGTGCTTTAGATGACACAAAATAATTAGTTTAATGACTAAAATGTAATGGTTTAAAGTACAATCTCACTAAATAGTTCCGTAGATGTGGTTTCAGTTAACCTATTTAAAAAAGGTATAATGTAAAAATTAACTCTCAATATTAATCAGAATAATTATTTTACTTCTATATTTTAAGAATATTCTAGTCCTCAACATTTTATTATATAGTAACAAAAATACATGTTTTAGAACGTTAATCATTTGTTAACTAATAATTTTTATTCGAACTTTTTTTCTCAAAACAAAATATTAAGATTAAAATGTTCTAAAGAATTAAAATTAAAATAACAATTTAATCATACATTGGGGGTAATTTTGATATTATACCGTTTGAAACCATCTGGGCTTCTAACGAATTCCCTCGATTCTTTCTTTTACTCTATTTCAAAGAGTAACCCCATCGCCGTCGTTCCATCGATTTATCCTTCATCTCTGCCCACTGTAAGTTATTCCTCACTTCTCCTGTACTTTACTCCACTTAATGTATAAAGAAAACTCATGGGATATAGGCTCCTTTTTTGTATATATAATATTTCACGATTTTTCTAGGAATTCTCAGTGAGTTTTAAAAGAATCAAACACAAGAAAGCTCATATTCAAACAACTCCAGCTCCAGGCTTTTTGACATTGGATTCATGGGTTATTTTCTGGTAATTTGCATTCAATATTATGTTCCTAATCAGTATCCTCTCTCAAAACTCTTTTTTTTTTGTTTATTTATATATTTTGGTAGCGAAAAGCTTCGTCTACTTTGGGTAGAAAGTCCATACTTCGGATCGTAGCCATTGGTGCTGCTAGTTATGGTCTTCTTTACTTGAACAACAACCCGAACTCGAGTAAGTTCTCAGTTCTCCTAAAATATATTTGATTTTATGCTCTTATTTGCTATAATACCCTTGATTTCGATTATTGAGAATTAGCAAGAACATTAAATTAGTATAAACCCTCTTTACAGTTATGGTATTTCTGAAATGTACTTCTAGTATTCTCATAAAATGTTGTCTTAGTTTTCTGGTATTTCTAATTGCGTATTCTTAGTGGATTATTGGTATTTCTAATTGATTACTTTTGGTTGAATTGTAGAAGCAACGGTGAAACTGTCAACTACTACACTATTGCGTGGACAACTCTCATTGCAAGGGCATTCTTCTTTTGTTTCCTCTTATTATTGGCAATTTGGTTTGTACTATTCTGTGTACTTTTAAGTTATACACATCCTTTAAAGGTATCTTTGTTTATTTTCAGATTATCTATATTTTGCACGCATTTGTAGGGAATTTTCCATTACTTTTATCTAGAGTTGATCCAGCTCCAGCTATAGATATCACAAATGAAGCTCCAGTAGCAGTTGAAGAGGGAGGAAAACCAAGTTGCGGATGTTTAGGCAAGGATTATATTGTGAATGCAGCTGCGAAGGTTGCTCCCGCTGTTGTCAACCTGTCTGTTCAGCGAGGTTCTTATCTGCTTTTGTTGGATTGGGATTTTTCTTTCTGAAGTATAATTTTATGGTCTAGTCTACGTTGCTGTAAATTTTTATTGTGCAGAACTTTATGGGTTTTCAACTGGGAGGAGTATGTGTTCTGGAACTATTATTGATGCAGATGGTACTATTTTAACATGTGCTCATGGCGTAGTTGATTCTCAAGGCAGGCGACTAACAACCAATGGAAAGGTCAGCAGTTAAAATTGTTATGTATATTAGTATTTCAAGGCCCAACTATGTTTACTGATTGATTACCATATTTCAGAAGATGTTTTTTATTTTTCTAATTGATTGAACTCTTGGAATTGTGCACATGACTAAGCATCCGAATTTTCTAGACTTTGTATTTTTATTTTTAGACAGCATTTCGATACCAATATATTTTTGCATGTTTTTTTTTTCTTCATTATGATTAACTTTTGCAGGTTGATGTCACTTTGCAAGATGGCCGAACATTTGAAGGTACAGTAGTGAATGCTGATTTGCATTCTGATATTGCAATAGTTAAGATCAAATCTAAAACTCCACTTCCAACTGCAAAACTTGGTTCTTCAAGCAAGCTTCGCCCTGGGGATTGGGTGATAGCCATGGGTTGCCCCCTTACCCTTCAGAATACTGTAACAGCGGGTATTGTGAGGTAATTTTACCTGATTTTTTTTAAAGGAAAATTCATTCAAAGATTTCAAGTTTTGACTACTACATGCTCTGTTTTTGAAAATTATGGTTATTTCGGTTGTTGCTGCCACTTTTTGGCATTAGGTCATATGGATTTTATGTTTGTCAGGTTATTTAGTTTCTGGTGAAGGAAAATTAGTGCACGAATGTGTTAGGATTAATTGATGATTTCTCTGACTGGCTACTGATGTCTTTTTATCTCTGCTACCTCATTGTATAGCTGCGTTGATCGTAAAAGCAGTGATTTGGGTCTCGGAGGGATGCGCAGAGAGTATTTACAAACTGATTGTGCAATCAATGCTGTACTTCCTTTCTCTCAGCTTCTGGGCATCAATTAACATGTTGCATTTGTGGCTATAAACATAGTCATTATATAAATGTGTATGCATTTCAGTCATTCTCATGAAAAGCGATTTCAGATTTGCATAGTGCCGAATCCTGTGTTCTGCTTTTGGATTGCATGTAGTGTTATTAATTTGGTAGTATTCAAGGATACCAATGATGAGATTTTCCTAAAACTTGTTCGTCTACTTTGTATTTGTATGACTCCATACTTGTCGATATACTAATCTATTCTTCACTTCTCCGGTTCAGGGAAATTCTGGTGGCCCCCTTGTTAATATTGATGGAGAAATTATTGGAGTTAATATTATGAAAGTAGCAATTGCCGATGGATTGAGTTTTTCGATACCCATCGACTCAGTTTCCAAAATTATAGAGCATTTCAAGAAGAACGGGTTTAATCATATCTCCTTATGGAACTACTTATTGAAATTTGAAATATTTCCTTCACTTATAGTAATGGAGCTTATGTGATCTTTATTGTTCTTCATGTTTTTGAACATTGATGGGACTTGTCTCTACCAATGGGTTACATAGAAAGATTTAAATCTTTTAATCTTGCAAAAATAACACTCATTTGAAGTTTGTTGCTTGTTTTCATTGCCCATCACATATAATCTTAAATGGGACATCAAATATCATGACAAAATTTGTCCTTTTGGCTTGTTTTATGTAGTTAGCTTTCCTCCAATTTTGTTTCGCCATAAAAGATTGTATGCGTTACTAACTTTATTTCTTAAACAGGAGAGTTATAAGGCCTTGGCTTGGATTAAAAATGCTCGATCTTAATGAGTTAATCATTGCTCAACTTAAAGAAAGAGATGCCAAATTTCCTGATGTTGAGAAAGGCATACTTGTTCCTATGGTATGTTTATCTTAATTCCTTCCTTCAATCATTTCTGCCTTCATAATACTTTGGATTTGCAAACCAAGTGAAAGAGGATTTGTATGTTTCCATCAAACCGTGTTTTAGATTTTTACGGAAAACCGGGTATCTTTCATCTTCTTTGTGCATTGAATTTTGTCCAGGTAACCCCAGGTTCTCCAGCTGATCGTGCTGGATTCCGTCCGGGTGATGTTGTTATTGAATTTGATGGAAAACCAGTTCAAAGTATCAAGGAGGTATTTTATTCAATAGATTTAAAACTTTATTTTGCCACACCGACTAGCTTCCTTTCGGTTCATGAAATTTACACCCTGATGTTTAAGAGTGGCAGATTATTGGTATAATGGATGATAGAATCGGGAAACCGTTGAATGTTGTTGTGAAAAGAGCAAATAATGAAGTGGTCAAATTGACTGTGATCCCTGAGGAAGCTAATCCGGATATGTGAGAGGCATGGTTAAATCTACTTTAAAGCTTTGGGAAGGGTTATACATTATATTTCATGTCCCTTCACGAGTTACAATTTTTTTTATAGAAAGACAAACAAAGAAATGATTAGGAGAAATGTTCTTGAGTTGGTTTTGTTATGAATTCTTGGCAACTGAAACGTTTATTTTGTAGGAGCTGATTGATCATGTAATTGGTCATTTTCATTGTCAGTCTCCTTGTAATGCCTTCCTCCAATTAAGGAGTATAATGCTATTATTAGGTTCGTAAATGAGACGAAATAAATCGTGAGTTAAAGTTCAGTCAACACTCTAATCAAATAGACTCGACTCGAGTTTGAATTCTTAATGAGAAAGTGAATTAATTAATACCCGACTCAAAAAATTCATGAGTAACTCGAAAAATTAATATATTAATTTTATTTTTTTTAAAAATTAAATTATTATTAGTATTAACATTTGGAGTCCTCGGATACACCTACGCCAAGAAGCAGAACCGATCGGTCAAGAATATCAATACTAGGCCCATCAAAGCTTGTTACCCATGCAATTAGTAGCAAGCCCCCAATTTAGTACATCCATTTTATTTGTTTATTTATTTAAAGCTCACTGAATCATTGGACATTGGCCCACACCGAGAATTGAATGAGCACCCCTTTTTTTCATCATTAATTTGGGTAAGTATAAAATAATATTTATTTAAATATAACTTTTAACTATTTAACATTAAATATTTATATCTCTACATTAATGATGTTTGAACTCAAAATCTTAAAAATAATAACAGTTTCTTTATCACCGAGATGAATTGATTCTTATGAGTTCACTGCTAAGGAAAGCTTAGACTTATTAACAATATTTGTTATCCAAACAAATTCTTTAATATTAGAGAATCTCACGTACTATATCATCATGTACGACACCTGCATTCGATTTTCATTTGTCAATAGCAAACAATAAAGTAGAAAATATTTCTAATTTGATTACCATTTCAGCCAAGTCTTTTTTTTGATCCCTTCATAGTTTTTTTTTATTTATCCTTATCGAGTTTTCATGTTTCAATGAATATTCAATTGCTAAATCCAACTACTTCCTAAGGGTAACAGACTCCTTAAAACTAACCCTCCAATATTTGCATTGCTAACATCTCTTCCTTTCAAGTAGGATCATGATTAAATTTAGAATTTATCAAAAAAGTCTGTCGTACAAAATTAATGATACATATCAGTACGCGACATTCATTCTAAAGTTATCCTTGTTATTAAACAAAGATAAGACATTGTGTTTCTTACATCATCCAATCAAATAGCTCGAGGTGGTTTCTCTAAAACCGCAGAAAGATAGACTTGGTCGTGGGATTTAGGGGCAACAACCCACTTGTGTTTCTTATATCTGAATTGCAGAAACATGTATATGTAGTCATCTAGATCCTTTTTGTTACAAAAGAATCTGTCAATCCACAACAATCCTCCCGGTCTCAAAACCCTGTCCCAATCGAAAAGGATGAAATCCATCAGCAGGAAGTCGATCCACCCGTCCAGGAACCCATTCGTGTGAATCAAGTCCATCGTGTTGTCGAAGAACGGAAGTCGTTGGTTCAATGTTGCGTACAAAGGAATTAGGCCTCGGAGTGCGATCATCTCGTTGAAAGGAGCCCCCAGGTTCAGAGCAGTTGAGACAATAGTTACATTCAGTTCCCTCATCCTCGCTGCAAATGTACCGGTGCCGACGCCGTAGTCTAGACCAATCCTTATCTGCCCTGCTTTAATGCCCAAAACATCTCTAATCAAGAAATCTACAGGAAGTGAACTGTTAGTTACCCACTTGAGCTTCTCCTTTTCCATCTCGAAACATCCTGTACACTTTGTATAACCTCGCTTCGGATTCTTGCCCGACAAGCAACCGAAATTCCTGCACCGGTAATTTCCCCACCTTACGTTTCTGTCATCGGGCAAATTCCATAGAGACTCATTGATAGAATACGGCTTCTGGTATACCTTGGAAGCCCTCGTCAAGCACCGCCTTCGGGGCAACGGATCACAACCACTAACCAGAAGCTTCTGAGCCAAATTCCAATCATCTCTGCAATAGGATCCTATCTCATAATCCATGTACTCTTCAAGTTCCTTCTTCATCAAGACACATGCATGCCCTATCGTATTGTATATCTTCTCGGTCCCATAGAAATTCGTCTTCCCAATTCTGTTCTCTTTCGGGCTTATATACTTGCGGATTTCCTCTGTTATGAATGTATTAACCAATGGATCCTCTTTCACCGTTGCATTTCCGACACCTTCGATCTTAGGTAGCCGAAGCTGTCTGAGAGCAATGTAAGCACTATAAACTGGCCCAAGAACATCCACCTCCAAATACTTCTTATACTCCAATCTTGTAATACTAGTCTTGTCCAATACATCTTTGTTCTTCTCCATCTGTTGCAGATTCATCTCTAACTTCTCTTGCAGGTTTTCAATCGTATTTAGTATGTCTGAAATCCAATCGTTCAACGCTTTTACATCGAAGCCTTCATAAACATCCTTGATGCCATAAAAATGGCGGCATATATCTTCATTGTGAACAAAAAATCCAGCAGAATAGAACCTAAAGAGACTTGAGATACTTACAACTATAACAAGTATCCCCAGAACAATCTGAAGCCAACCCATTATCCTTGCAAGTCCACAAGATCTTCTCATCCTCATCATTTAAATTCACAATCCTTACACCTACAACACGCAGTAGAAATTAGACATTTACGAGAACTTGCAAATTAGCTTTGTTTGGTTTCCGAGAAAAAAAAGAAGGTAGGAAATTCCGCATGCTTTCTGCAATTAATGACCTATAAACATAGCCTGTCATTTCAAATATAACAATACGAATTTGTAGTGTTTCTTTCTTTCTTTCAAGTTTTGCCTCCATTTTCTCAATAAACGAGAAGCTAGTTAACGAAACTGATAAAAACAACGATATACGAGCAAATGTAAAACATACCTGATAAAACTGGCAATTTTCATCAACAGAAACTAGAAAAGGATACCTAGAAATTTGGTATTAAAACAGATCTCAATCTAGCAATTTAGAATGGGCCAACTTGATCTTCATAGCTGGAAAATCGTACAATTTAAGCTAAACACTCCAGTGGCAAGTTTTTTTTTAGTTAAAGTGAGTGCAATGCTTGTGAACCAAGATGCTAGCTATACGTATTATATTATAAATTGTTATATGGGTAAACTATATTCTAGGTCACACAGTTATTAGTCAAGTTACAAACGAGTCATTTTTCTAAATTACATTTAGTCATTCAATTAAAATGTTATTATAAACAAGTCAACGAATTGTTGAATAATATACAGAATAGTTAAATGGTATGGTGTAATAACAGTTTTAGTCCTAAAAAATTATAGATGCTATCAATTTGATTCTAAATCAAAAGAATTCAATAAATTTAACCATTTATATTTAAAAGTTCTACCAATTTAATATTTATTTTTCCCAAATTACTTATTCTTATAACGATACAAATTATCACCTCTCTTTTTCCTATAACGATACAAATATGTTATAGTCGAAATGTTATATTATGTTTAAATTTTATAAATTTTGAATTCATTCATCGTTTTCAGTGGTAAAATATTGTTATTCTTTTTAAAGTTCTAAGTTCGAGAATCTACGTTTGCAATGTATGTATACATTATCAATGGTTAAGAAAGATTTTGAAGCGATATACTTTATAATCACTTTAAACTATTTAAAAAAGTACGAGTAAGATCTAAATAATTATGGTACAACACGAATGATAATTTTGGGCCGAGTAATGTAAGCCCAAAAATCACAAAGGCTAATTCTGGACCCTTAACAATACTCAATTCTAAGCGTCATCTCCTCGTGGAAGACTTGGTTCATCCACGGAGGAGGGTTTATGACTTGTTTATGGCAGCTTACCAGTCTCTCTTTACGCCCCTCAAAATGGGGCAGTCTCCTTTTACTATCCTTCTCCTTAAACGCCTTTCTCTCTGTAATGGAACCCGACTAAAGTTTCGTAACTTTCCTCCTCCTCCATGTTTTACCACCGTTATTTCAAAGCCCTTCTCTTCTGCTTCCCAACAGCCGCAGGGTGCCCCCTCTCATGACCCACCAAAACCAACTTCTCTCTCAGCTCGTATGAGCTTCGTTTTTGAACAAATTGATAAAATCGAAAAGCAGAAACAACAACAATCGCTCGAGAACGACGACACTCTACAGCGTATAAGAGCTTGGCGACAGTCGAAGAAGGAATCTCAAGCAACCCAACAGCAATTTCAGTACAAAGAACAAAACACAGAATCTGGTATTGCCAAGAATGATGCTAATCCTACTGAGTTTGCTTTGTCCAACTCGCCCGAGCTAACCGACTCACACAACAAGGATGCACTCCGTGCTTGGAGGGATTCGAAGTATGGGGAGCATAAGGGATACCCGGAAGGTGCTGAAAATGAGGCTGAAGTTGGTGTTTCGAAAACTGATTCAGTGACTGTGTTGGGAAAGTTGCAGGGCAAGGAGGTGGAGGTGGTGCACCCATGGCCAGAGTGGATAGAGTTGATGGATAGATTAGTGCAGCAGAATTATTTTGATCATAAAAGGAGAGATGATGGAAAAATGGTGGAAGAGTTGGGATTTGATATGACTAATTTTGTTGAGGAAGTTAAGGATGATGCTGGAATTGATTTTAAGGACTACAAGACCGTACAAACTGCTTGTATTAATTTCGGGAAGGACCGGTTTGATATATTGAGGTTTTTATATTATGTTTGGTTTCTGATGATTAGCATTGTACTTATATGAAATGGGTTTGTTTAGTTATTGTGTATTGATGTCTTCTGCTTCTTTGGATGAATTCATATATTCAATTATCCAAAAAAAAATATGCTTATATGGAACTGCTTGCTTTGATTAGTGTTTGTTTGCTTGGCTCTGAAATAGAAAGTTGATTTTCAGGTCACTATCAAGGCAAGATATGCAAATTTTGGTTGGTTTTGGATGCCCGAATACAGATAAGAAGGTGGTTTTCTCTGCAAAACTCTTGAGAAAACATGTCCACCTTGATGAAGGAGATGTAAGTATTAATTCTTTAATCCTGTGTCTTTTACTCATATCCAGCAAAATCTCTGCAGTTGTTGCTTTTCCTTTTGGCCTTTTAATCATTCATGTGGTGGTGTTCTTCATGCGTGGTTTTCGTTTCTTTTGCTCAGAAGATTGCCGCTTTTTTCTCCCCTTTTCCTGTTTTTCAATTGTGGTAAAATTATTCATTGTGAATCAGGTTTGTAGCTCCTGCAGTTTGAGGAGTTCTTGTGAGAGAGGATATCTCCTGACAAACAAAGAAGATGAAGCACGGACTATTGATGCTATGCGTGTCCTACTGACATATGGATTTGATTATTTGAATGGTTCCGTGGTGAATGAATCTGTTCTGAAAAAGAAGTCTGTAAAAACTGTTGCTCGTAAGTTGCTATATGAGGTCGTAAAGTTGAGTGCTGTACCTATAGACCCTAATCTTCCACCACCTGTGATAAAGAAGCCTCCACCAAAAGTGAAACAACCTCCTCCTCCCCCGAAGAAGCGAGTGGGACGTGATGATATTGAGATGAAAAAGGGAGATTGGCTTTGCCCAAAGTACGTGCGTTATAAAGTTTCAAATGGATGTAGTTATAAAAATAATATTCTCAACCTTTTTTGTGATGCTTCATGTTAGATTTTTAGAAATTTGAACATACTTTAATATCTGAAAACATTGAATATCATCTCAGGTGTGATTTCATGAATTTTGCAAAGAATACAGTCTGTCTACAATGTGATGCTAAGCGGCCAAAGAGACAGTTGCTTCCCGGAGAATGGGAATGCCCCGAGTAAGTTTAGTTTATTTTCCCTTGCACATCCTGCATTAATTTTTACAACAAGCTGCTTGATTCAAAGTTCATTTGTTCTATTCAAATTTACCTATCTATTAAGTTGATAGTCTTCAAATTTCCTATCAAAAAAAATAGTCTTGAAATATCGATGTTGTGGCTTCGCAGTGATCATCTTCTAAATGAGGAAGGTGACTCTTTATGTATTAATCTTAAACTGAGGAACTGTTTTAAGTTGTTTATTGTTATTGTGATCTGGCAGGTGCAATTTCTTAAATTATAGGAGAAATATGGCATGTTTTCATTGTGATTGCAAGCGTCCACCTGATGCATTTATGGAGTCTAAAATACAGGAAATGCAACCTGGTCCAAGGACAAGGTTGGAGAAGGTTGCCCGACAACCTGGGGTCTCCAATGCCTGGAATTTTGACTTCGATGACGATGAATCAGATGGGGCGGATGTTGCTGCATTTGAGTATGCAGATACTTCAGTAAAGGGTGAAGCTTTTCCTTCGGATAACCAGACCCGTGGGGGGGAGTTTAGGGGAATTGAAGATAAATATGATACAGTTGACCGAGCCTCAAGGGTCCACGAAAGAATGTATTCAGATATTAATAGCAGCAGACATGGATTAGGATTTGATGACTTTGATGATATTGATAGTTATGAGGTTGACTCTCAGCAAAATAATCCTGGACAGGAAGCTTCCTCGAATGTTTACTCCGACAATGAGGCGTTTTCTAAACCAGAGAGAAATCAGGGCTCTAAGCGCATGAATAAAAGAGTAGCTTTATCCGACTCCGATGATGATTTTGATTCAGATGAAGAACTTTCAGCTCATCCTAACTGGAAATCTAGTCATGTAGCTGATTCGAAGCATAGGGGTAGAGGTGTGCCAATGGACCTTGATTTGGATTCTGATGGCGATGATAGTTTTGAAAATTTTGGATCCAAACGGTGGAAAGAGGACAAAGGGAGTCGTGGCGGAGGCAGATTTCGGAACAGAGAAAGCTCTGGTTTTCAAGGTGGTTCCTTATCCGGTTCAGACTATGAAAATGATGGTCCTCATTCAAAGAGAAATGTGTTAAGAGGGGGTAAAATAGGATCTGGCAGCCAAGGAAACAGTGTTCGCAGGTACGGTGATGATGGTAATTACAAATTCAGAAAAGATTCGCGACCAAGATCAAACGGCAAGAAGGATGGCAGAAACAACAATTCAAACAATAATTGGGATAGATCACATCGAGGGTCTCGGGGTGACAATAGGAGGTTTGGAGGGGATGAACATGGCAGGCAAAGAATGAAGAACAATATGCAGAGATGCAAGGGAGGTAGGAAAGATGGAGGATTCGGAGGTAGGCCTCGGGGAAAGTCTCTTGACTATGGGAAGGAGACGGATCATGATCCTTCAGAATTTAGCAACAGTAGGCGTGTTATTGAAAGATGAGTTATCCGCCAATTCTATACTATATTTGTATTCTTAACACAATTTTTCGTATTCTTTTCCTTTAGTGTTTCAATGCCAAAACCATAGAATTTGTTCTTTCAGGTAGGTTGGTTGACATAATGAATTGAAGTAAACGTTTAAACTATTTCTTAGTCAATTTTAGGTATCTAAAGAATTTTTCGTTAAAAATAGGTGTCTCATGTTTTTTCTGTTATACGTTTTAAGTGTAATATTTTCTCTATTATACTTTTAATAAGTGCTTACATAGTAAAGATTGTTAAAAGGCTCGTTAAGTGAATCATGTTATTTTTATATTTTGACTTAATACAAAAATAAGTTCACAAATTATATTTTAAGTTGACATTAGGTGCCTAATTTTTTTCATTAAGAGTATTTTATTTTAAGATCATTAAATGAGTTCAATATTTGCGAGAGACATTTGATTGATGTTTTTCTTGTTGGTCAAATTTCGAATGAATCTAAAATTTTATTATTCTACACATTAATTTAATGTTATGATACCTTTAGCATGAAATTATGACAATAATTTTTAAGTGAATCATATTTCGGGTATTTATTTCCCTTTCTTGTTTGATTTATAATAATTGCATATTGTTGTTCTATTTTATGAAAATATTTTATATATGATTATGTAACATCTAAAATCCGACTCATATATGTGGTGGGTTTAAAATGTTAGCCTAAATCTTGAAAATTTTGTCATGCAACAAACCATTAAAATTTATTTTATCCACTGTGAAGTTAATAAATGACATGATCTTACGTTTAAATTATAATATTTCACTCTTTACCAAATAAGAATGTCTAAATTATATTTTAATATTATAATAAATAAAATTATACCTAGCTAAATTAATATACTTTCTTAAAACAAATTAATCTAGAATCAAACCTTATTTTCGATGAGAAAATTTAGCTGATGTTAGATTCATGGGAGACCTATCACATGCAACTACCTCTTACACGATGAGATAAATTTATGGGGGAAAAATTCAAGACGACGATTATGATTTACGCAAAAGTATTAGATTTCAATTAGTTTAACTGTTAAAAATTAAACTAAATTACATCAATAACCAGTTCGTGTAGTCGGATGAGACACTAGATTCCTTAAGCAATGTCAAAGGTTTAAACCCTGACGTTTACGAATGGAGCAAACTGGTTAGGAGAGTCGCCTATGCAGCACTCGATCTAGATTAGTCGTTCAAAAGATCGAATATTAGTAATTAATTCAAAAATTAAACTAAATTACACTTTGAAATTACTTAATTATAGGTTTGATAATAAAAAATAATTTAATTTTTCTTCTAGAAATTGTATCAAGTAAAATATTGTCATAAACATATCACTATTTCGTTAAATAAAATTCCCCTTAGGGTAAACAACACATGTAGTCCCTTAAATTGATGAAAATTTAAAATTCTATAAAAAAAATAAAAAATAAAAATAATTTATTAAAAATCCGACTGAATCGTACCGATTTTAACTCTATTACTTTCTACCTGTATTTATCCCTCCTTTTACTGCACTTTTCTACTATAAAAACTAAAACAATGGAGAAAAGGGAAGACTAATGTTAAACCATTTTATTTCGAAAAGAGTTCCAAAGTTCATCAGTCTCTAAACTGATGCTTAAAGCTTAACATATTACTACTGAGTTGCATGCAAGGCAAAGAAAAATGCAGTGACTGGCTTTGTAACGCTTCTGAATTACATCTTCTTCACAATGGCTTCAAGCATTCCATTAGCCAAATAGCTAGTCGCTTCTTGGTTATTGACCGGACCAGGTAGCTGGAATGAGACGGTGAAGGGTCCCGGCCGGCATAGATTTTGTGTCAGCATATGAAAGATTTGCAAGTTCTTGCATACTATCTTCTCACCGGTTGTTGATATCCCCTTTATTACTACTTTTCCATCAGGTTCAATGTCACAATTGAAATCCCCTGCACTCATAAACTCGAATATCTCAATTTTCCTCCCAGAGAAATCGATAACAAAACAGACAGAAAGATAAATATGCTGATTCAAGCTTTCCTATCAGAGAACTCAATATCAATTAACATGACAACTTGATTTGCTTCAATCATAAATCCTGGAAAAAACAATCTTCGAGAGATCATTTTCATCAAAGAGACGAGGCATTTCTGATCTAATGAAGAAAGCAAACAATTCTATTTAAAGTGAGTTTAGCAATCATGTCATGAACAGAGTGGTTGATCTTAAACATTAAAGGAACTTACTTTTGTCCATTGATACCCCGGGAAGGGAGACACGGAAATAGTACGAATCCTCCAGTTCACCAATTTCCACTTTTCCAATAACAGGTCCAATTGATCCTGTGGCTGCAGCACCAGTCAGAGCAACTCCATTTTTGGTAGCTGCCAAGATGGTATCCAACTCCTCCCTTGTTGATTGTGAAGGCAGAAATATCATAGCTGGACCAACAGCGTCTGCAGCCTCTGTGTTCTCTTTGGTTGGTGAAGAAAACATATCTGGATTAGTTGGACCCATGTATGGCACGCAATTCAGAGGAGCCACATCGAGAACTGGTTGCTGGGGATTCATGCGATTAGGCTCGTAATTTTCGCCTTTTGTCCTTTCAGAACTGCCGGAAGACAAGTAGATTGTCACGTTTACACATGAACCTAGAGCCGAGTCTACAAAACAAAAGCTACCTTTCATGAGCAATGCTACAACTTACATGTCTCCCTCCAGCCCAACCATTTCTATCATATGTTATTGAGGTTTTATTTTATTTTTTTTTTATTTTTATAAGATGTCAGCAACGAAACTTAGGCTTGTTTACTAATCCATTGAAAGAAAATGTAAGGAATCTTTTGGAAACAGAACACGGAGAAACACATAACATTGACATCAGTTATTTAAGGGAGGAAAATCCTTGGTCACAAAAATCAAATTTCTCAAACATTTGAGAAAACAAATATTGAATCCACTTACAGGGTTAAAACAGAAAAATAATGGTTTTTTTAAAATGATACAAAAATCCCAAACTAAACAAGTAACGGAAACATGCATCAAATCACCAATAACATACTGAAACAGAAAACCATCACATTTTTAAGTAGTTTTGCTCAAACATAAAACCCTATTATTGAGACTAAGGGCACTAGATTTTCCTTACAAATAATGTCCATCTTCGCTACTCTCTAGGAAAGTGTGTGTTCCTTAAAGATGCAGCTTACACTTAATAGGTTATGGCTGAAAACTACAACCATGGTCTATATAATGTCACCATCCTAATGCAAGACCGCCTTCCAAAATATACTCATTTATTATCCCCGTTAAAAATATTAAAATGTTCTTCACTGCCTCCACTGTTTTTCCTTTTACAGCTAATTTATATGTTTCCAACAGATTACCTATTTAATTGAATAAATAAATTTCCAAGTAATAAAACTGACTAGTTGCTCTTGCCAAAACCAAGAAGATATGCATGTTATGCATGTGTAATACACACATAAAAAATGAAATAAGTTTGGTGTAACATAACACGTGCAGCCATCTCCCGCTTTCAAAAATGTATAACACATGCGTTGCATGCATATACTTTATCAAGAACTTCAAACCACACAATCAATGCTTCACATCCAGCATTCTAAGAAACCCTCTATTATGCATTTAAGGTTAATTAGGAAAATGATGAAGGAAAGACAAGTAATACAGAAAGCAAATAATTTATGAAGTTTTAATTTTCTCTAGACAACATAGTAAAGAGTGAACAAGGTTAGGCTGTACCAGACTTAGATATACCGATTTATTAATGTTGACACAGAGGTAATTAAACCAAATTAAATGCACTTGTGCATTGCAATCCTTCTACGCACATGTTTCTACCTATTTCAGAGAAATATCATTTTGCAACTACAGTTTTTATTTTAAAAAGTGAAAAATCTACTTTAGGAAGTTCTTCAACCTACATTATAGGTCTCACATAAGCTATATTACAAGAAATCTATTCCTTTTAAATAGGAATAAATTTCCACACTTTACGGACACATTAGATCCATAATGGTATAACAGATATAGAGTTGCCTATAAGAAGTTTTAGGTACTTGTATCTAGGGGTGAATCCAAGAATCTCAGATTTGGGGACCATATTAAAAAGAATAGTTTCCTTTTTGGGGTGTCTAAATGAATTTTCACAAGTTCTCAAATATAAAAGCACTAAGAAATCAAAGGCAATCTCGAGGGGAAGAGGGTGTAGGGTCCCTGGCCTTCCACCTTCCCTTCGTCCGTCTGTATCATGGTTAATGTCAAGCAGCAATATTAGTTCTTTTACCTCAGATATCCCGTTTTGGACCTACTTTTATGACTACATGCCCTTCTGAATTTTTTCTTTTTCATCTTTCGTTAACTTTGAGATTTTATTCAATAAGTCACACCTACCACATAACAACAAAGAGATGATTGAAGATAACTATCATTCAAAAGTGTAGTGATGCCTGCTTTAGTGGTTGTATATCTTTAACCAACTCTATAAAGAATATCAAACCTTCATCATATGCCTTAACAGAAGCAATGTAAAATACTATAGCATTCATCAACAAGGGTGCAAATAAAGGAGTTGGATGGATACAAAGACACAAATATAGTAGGGTTTTTGAGTTGTTTGGTAAGTTTCAGTTGTCCGTAATGCAGATGCTGACTTCATGGGTGAATGCATGTTGGAAAGGAAGTGGTTGATTTCTACCTGGAAGGGACAAGTAAAATAAACATTTATGTTGTTCTGATTTTTTATTTTTCTTGCAGTAACCATGTCCAATGCATATCCAGACGTGGGTATGGGGGTATAACCCTCAAATATAAGGAAAAACTTCAAAAAAAGATTGAACATATCCATGACGAATGCATATCCACATTCAAGATTCACACAAGTCCAAGTAACATTGAACATTACCCTCAATTTTTCTGAACAGGGGAATATCCATATATTCAGAGAAAAGCTCCAATAGAAGTTATCAAAAATCCAAAATAGGAAAAAGTTAGCCAGTAAAAAACCCTAGGAAAACCCTAAAATAGAGGCTATCTTAGTAATGAAGTCCAAGCCTGAACCCCCACCCCCCAAAAAAGAAAAAGAAAACAGCCAAAGAAGAAGATAGCGAGATCCTAATTCAACTTCCATACACCTTTTATCAATAGAAAATATTTTATATATAACAATCTTAAAGTAAGAATCCTTGATTTCTGCAAATAAATCACATAATTATATACAGGGATAAAACAAATTAAACATGGAATTTTGATTCTCTACCAGAAAATTTAAAAACCACGACAGATTCGATCTGAGATGAGGCATAGAAATTCAAACAACCCATCGTATACATCATCATGAACATGAAAAAAAAAAAATACTCAAATACATCCAAAACCCAGAGAGAAGATGGCATAAACTGTAAAATACAAATCGAAAAATGGGAATTCAAAGCTGTATCTTTTCAGCTAATTCCATTGCCGAATACAAACAAACATCATTGGGTTAGACGTACAGACAACATGCATTACAGTATATAGATTTGTATAAAAGATGTATGGCCATGGGGGCATCTTTACCTCATTGGAGAAGCCATTGAAGAGAAAGCAAAACTGAGAGTTTTCTGTCAGTTTCAAACGCTGTTTATACAATTTGAAAGAATCTAATGTTTATACTTTTTTCTTCTTTGGGCCAACGGGTTTTGTGGAAAAGACTAACGTTGAAACAATTGGCACTTGCCTTACTTGGTTGTGATTTTTTTTAAATAAACTATACAAATAATCGTTAAAGTTCAAGTTTTTTTTATTTTTTTACTAAAATTTTAAAAATAATAAATTTTTATCCTTAAACTATTATTAAAACATCAAATATATTGTTGAACAATAATTTTATATTTAATTTATATCCAAAGTACTTTAATTTTTAAAAAGATTCAAAGATTATATTTAACCCCAATTTGGACAGTTATGATGGGTTATTTGAAATAATATAAAGGTATCTTCATTGTCGACTGTGTCAGGGTTGCTGAGTGAATGAAAAGAAACCTAAAATATCTTTACTATAAAGTAACCGGTGAGGGTTAATGATGCATATACCTCACTATTTGTTCTGATTGGTGGCGGCGTGTTGAGTGAATGTTGTAATCTTTTAGCACGAGTGGAAAAGAGCAATTAGTTTCATTATTTGAGAGCAAGATGGTGTTTTTCTTTTTATTCTGGGAGCTGTTGTCACAACCATAGTTAATTTCTTGTCGTCAAGAATAACTAAATCTCTCCCATAAATTGGGATAAAAATATATTTAGTATTTATTTTCTTATAAACTCATCACTTTTTTGGTATTTTTTATATCTTCTAATTTTTATGTTTTTTATGTTTTTAATAATTTGTATAGATTTTTATTCTCTAAAAAATTTACTAAGTATAATTATAATTTTTGGATTTTTTGAAAATTATTAAGTTTACGAGTAAATTAGATATAAAATCATTGTTCAAAGGCTTATTTGATGTTTTAATGGTAGTTAAGGGGTAAAACTAAATATTTATCTTTTTATTAAGGTTGCCACGTTATCAATTTAACAAGAATGATAGTGTAGTGACCATTTTATTATAAATCGATAATGTTAGTGATCAATTTGTTATTTTTGAAACTTCAATACAAAAACAAAAAATTATTCAAACATTAATGGCTATTTGTGTAGTTTACCCCTTCTTTTTAAATCGATTATTAGTGGATTAACAATGAAATACGTTGATCATTTAGTGGATTAAAAATGGAATACGTTGATCATTAGTGGATTACCAATTGAATATATAGTATTTTTTTTCGTAGTTTTTCTTAATCATTGACAACGAGCTCATACCTTACAGTTAGAAATATAAATCACTAAGAAATACTGCTTCATAATAAAATTTATAATAGATTGATAGATATTTCTTGTTTCACATCTCTTTAAGTAGCATTCCAACTAGAAACGAGATCGAAAAAACAGAAAGGCATAAAGTAAATTGTTTCATTCTTCAAGCATAGTATTTACAAAACAAAGTCTGTTCTTCAGCTTATAACCTTGATCAAGGCTTTTAACCCGGAGAGAAGCCTCCTTATTCCGCCCCGATGAACATTCTCAGGATGTCTCGAGGGCCTACTCTGTAATCAATTTAGAAAGTAAACGAAGATTAGAAAGCAATAAATCGAACTTCTCGGGGTTAATGCAATCGTAATCGTTCTGATTCTTTGTTCTACTTTCTAAGGTTTCAATTCTCAATTCCCATTCAAAGTATCGAATTACCTTCTTAAATTCTATGCTAGAGTTGCTAATGATCAGAAGAAGACTGCTGTTGCTCGGGACCTGGTGGCCACATCTGCTGCGCCATGTATGGGTGAGACTGCTGGGCATAGATAGCAGGGTCCACCACCGGCTTCCCCATTATCATTCCCGGAGTCCCGACCTGAGGTGCATGTTGTGCAGGCATGTAATAAGACAATGCGTCAGCAGGCCCTCCAACAGGCATTGTTCCGCGTGGAATCGATGCAAGAACTTCATCTTTCAAATCCTCTCTCGGAACTATATCAACTAAGAAATCGAATATGTCAGTCCTGGTAATTGCTGCCGCAATATCGTTCTTCTGAAGTGTCCTCCTTTTATTCTCTTCCGTGTGATTCCACGAACGCAATGTCAATTCTAAGATGAACATTTCACATGCCCGAGCGAAAATGACAGGAGCCTCGGCAGATATCATCCTCACATCTTCATCAGCTTTCATGATCTTCTTGATCCGGGCTAAGGGAAGGTTATGGTTCTTGAAATCTGTAACCTTCTCGATTTCTTGATACTGATTTGCCCAAAATGTCTGCAGTTGTTGCTGAAGTTGCTGTTGCTGCTGCTGGTGGATTTGCTGAAAAGCAAGCTGGTGCTGTGCAAACTGTGCTCCCGTCGGGGTGGACTGAATACCTCCGACCGATGTCACAACTGTCCCTGGATTTTGGGTCGCCCCAGTCACCTGATTCTGGTACGGATTAGTACCATAAGGGACTTGAGCTCCGCTACCCATCATCCCCATAGCCGGGGGCTGTCCATGTCCTTGCTGGTCCATTCTAATCTGCTTCAACCAAAACTTAATACATCTGCCTCTGAATAAACACACTTCAACTAGGCATTACATTTTCATTGCATCTAAACATCGAAATCCGAATAAACGTTGTAAGAACCATCATCTCCGGTGAACGGGAACCATTTCTTTTCTTATTTTACGAAACCTATTCTGACTAATATCCTGCCATGGAATATCAAGTTCCATTACCGCTTCAAATCAACATCTACTCGAGCCTAGGACACAAATCACCAGCATTTATGATAAAAATCTATACATATTGTTCCGATTCTGTATTTTCCTTGAGATGATATAATTTCAAACCCTCCAAATACATGAAAAAACTTCATGAAAAATTAACTTACTCGTATCCGACACTATAAACATGAAATTGATCTAGATTTACTCCATCTAAAATGAAGAAAGAACGAACACAATAAAGAGGAAAAAATGGCGATTGGTCAATGGATTTTTCAATAAAAAACCAATAAATAATATTATAGGAAAAAGTGATACCTTTTGGGGGGAATTCGTACCCTTGATAAGAAGACTGAGAGGAGCCTGAGATTAAAAAGAAGAGATGTCAAAAGTGTTAATAATAGAATTGTTTACGTAGGGTGAGAAAAGAAACCCAAAATTGGAAAGTTTTAGGGTTACATTGAAGAAGAAGAAAAAGTAGTTTTTTAATGATAGGTTGAAAAGGGGGGATTTTTATCGTACAAACTAACCTGAGATTGGAAACAAGAAAAGCTGAAGTTGGGTATTTGACATGTGATGTCAGAACTGAGAAGCTACTTTTATACGACCCGGACTTCCCCTTCTTTCTGCGTTTTCTTTTCCTTTTTTGTTTTCTCACCAAATTACCCTTTTCAAATCAATTTGCCTTCCGGATATCAGTTGTTTGGATTTATTGGGTCACTTTTTAATTTGGGATTTTAAGTTTGGCTCTATTCCTTCTTTCATTATTATTATAGGTAAAGTATATGAATCATCTCTCGATTATAGTTATTGTTTTATTGAGTTTTAAAATAATATCAATTTTAAAACAATATTTTGATTATAGGATGACATTTTTTTAAGTCCTCAACTATTATAAGTTACAAAATAGTCGTCAGACTATTAATATGTTCCGAACTAGTCATTTTCAGTTAAAAAATGATGGTCATCTGAGCTAGATGTTAACACGTTAACTAGGATATGATAAAATCACATTTTACTGACGTTATTAGTATCATCGTTGCTTTGAAGTACTAGCTAGACAGTATAATGTAAACGAATAGTCGATCCACAAAAATACAGCTCAAACGGTTCTAAGATCAGATTTTATCATATTAGAATCAACAAGTTAACGTCTAACTCAGGACCATAAATTTTTTAACGAAAATGCCGAGTTTAAAATATATGAAGTTTGATAATCATTTTGTAATTTTTACTAATCGATTTAATAAAACAATACCCTATAGTCAAAAGCTCATTTGTATACTTTATTCTATTATCATTTCAAATAGTTTCTTTTAAGTTCTTATTATTTTAAGTTATTCGGAATTTAGGTAGATTTCAAATTGTTAGAGCAGTTCAAATTATTTTAGATTTGAATCAATTTTACCGAATTAGCCAAATCAAGGATCCTGACCAATTCAACTGAGAAAGAAATCAATTGTGGAATTCCACTAATGAATATAAACACGCATCTATTGAATGCAAATAGTTCACATACGGCTCAAAGGACATTAACAGGTGACGTGAAAGTGAAACATAATTTACATGCTAAGAAAGCGCTATACCGATGCTATCGTCGGAGCTTTCTTAATAACCACTTCCTCCGTTGATCGACATCCATAGCCACAAACATCCGGGCCTTTTTCTCGTCATCAAGAAGTTTGCTAGCGTCTAAGAAGAGCACATCATCCATGCCTGGTATGGCCTGAAGAGCATCAACTATGCTTTCAATTGAGCTATCATATCGATCTTCATCACTAAAACTGGTGTTGGCATTAACCGGACTCTCATCAACTGGATGCAGTCTTCCTTGATCGGTTCTTGAGGCTTTTCTTGAGGCTGGAGTTGATGAAGTATCAGTTCTCCGCTTTTTCCTTTGATCGGGTATCTCAAACTCTGCAGCCAGAGATTGCAGATCGTCGAATATATCATTGAACCCCATATCAAGAGCATCATTGTCAATCTCTGATCTTATATCCACACTACCGATTCCATGCACCCTCGTCGGATTGCTACTGGATTCATCCACCTCTTCACCTGCAAAAGTACAAAGTCAAAACCAACATCTACCATAATAGTGACCCCAGAAAAGAATGAAGTAACATTGTCCATGCATACAGGCAATTCACATAAACATTTTGAGAGCAAGAAAGAGGGAGGGGAAAGCACCAGCACAATTTTCTGCCTCCAAATGCCACCCAATTATATTTGCATTTCCATAAATCAAGAACAAATCATTATAACTAGGAAGGGTTCTGTTGCGGTATGATCGTGAATCAGGGTGTTCCTGCACAAGCCAAATTTAAGCTAAGATTAACGACATCACAAATTTCGTCCATAAGAAAATTTGATCAAGCAGCACCTTTAGATAAATAGCCCAGATATTTTCATCAGCAATTATCATCTGTCGCATCTCATCCCAAGAAAATCCATCATGGTCGAGTAGATTTTTCATATCATTGAATCGTTTCCTCAAGTTCATAAAACGACTTTTCAGGAGATCTTTGTCATATTGATGCCCAAATTCTGCCCTAAATTTTGCAACCATGTCAACCCATGCAAGCTTGCTAAATTTTTTATTGATCATACTCCCTTGACGAACATGCTCTAGCATTAGATCAATGAAATATCGATCCATAGACGGTATCCAATTGGTTCTCCCGTAGTAGCCATTTTTCAGTATGGTTCCTTGAACAATTCAAGATGAGGAATAAGTTGAATGATAAAGTAATGTACCTCAAAGTTGCTAAAACTAATTGATAAATCATGAGAAATAATAAGCACCCTGCCTTTTAGATGATGAGAAATAGCACCAGTTCTAGAGTTAATGCAAGTGCATATAATCTTAGCAACAGAAATCTCACCATGTCCATTGCAGCTAGCATCTTGACCTGATCGTCTGCCATTCCTATCAGTTGAAGTTCCATAGATCAAGCATAAATCATTATAATTAGGCTTGCATTTGTTCCTGTACGAGTCAACGTCTGGGTATTCCTACACTTACCATATGTTAGCTACTTAGAAAAGAAAACAATTGACATCTAAGAACAGAAAAACAAGCAAAGTACCCTGATATAAGTCTCCCAAACATCATCACAGGCTGTAACCATCTGCCGTGTTTCATCCCAAGAAAACACTCTCTGATCAAGAAGAGTCCTCATATCACGATATTGTTTGCCAAGGCTTTTATGATGATCCTTCAAAAGTTCCTCGTCAAGTTGTAATCCAAAACTTTCCATAAATGACAGAGACATATCCATCCATACTTCAGTATCTAAATCACCATTCATCCTACCGCTCCTATGCACTTGCTCTAACAAAAGGTCAATAAGATGTCTTTCCATCGGAGGAGTCCAATTTATCCTTGAACAACCATTACTGGCATGGAATTGAGGGTCATTTCCTACAATGTATTTACATGAGAAAATAGCCCCACTACAGCAGAGAAAAAACTTGATATAATATGCATGTCTGTTCAAAATAAATGCATACCACCAACTGAGTCTTAGATCAGTTGGCACCGTTGCTACTGCAACAACCTGGAGGTCATAGGTTTGAGTTTACTTAAGCGCAATCGCCTCCAATTTAATTAGTTTGGGGATTATGGGTAGTTTAGGAATTATATAAGAAAATGCATACCAATCCCCAAATCTGGGTCCTCATTTTCAAGACACACCCTTTGGGCCGTACTGCACCTCTGATTAGAAGTTTCTTGACCAAATATAACACATAGCTTGTGATAGTCGGGCAATATTTTGTTTCTGTATGATTGAGTATTGGGATGTGCCTGCATTGATTACACTTGAGCTAAAATAATAGCATGACACAAAGAAAACAGAAAGAGATATACAGAAATTCACCTGCATGTAAGCATCCCAAACATAATCCGCAGCAATGACCTTTTCTCGTGCGTCATCCCATGAGAATCCATTCTGTTCGAGTAGTATCCTTATACTATTATATTGCCCCCTCAAGTGTCTGGCCTGGGACTTCAAAGCCTCTTCATCATAGTGATATCCAAACTTTATACTGAACATTGCAACAATTTGTTTCCACGCCTCAGGTATGAAAACATGACCAATTTTATTCCCCCCAAGTGCTTGGTTAAGCATCAAGTCAATAAGATGGCAATTCATAGCTGGTGTCCAATGTGTACTTAACATCTCATCTCTATCATTGAGATGGCCTTTGTTTTCTTCACCTACAAGAGCAGTAAACGCATCATATACATATTCCAAAGTATCACAGAAGGAGACAAATATTTATCACCAGAATATTCCTATAGCTTGCTGTCAGAGAAAGAAAAGGTAATAAGATGAAAAGGTAATAAGATAACCAAGGCAGAAGATCCATATCCAACCAGGAAAATACATCAACCACTAAAAGGCTAAGATAATAATTAGCATAGCTTATCCACATTTATTGTCAAGTTTCAATGTTGCTAACTTCGCAAAACAATCGGATGCATGATACAGTCCACTACCTACCCCTCTGAAGAGAAATTTCATGTTTACTTACACACAAACAAAACTTACCAATCCAAGTTGGTAACATTTTAGGCCCAGTACATCTTCCTTGGCGTATATGACTAGAAACTACACTATTGCTTGCATTTTCATAAATCAACCTCAAATCTTGGTAGTTCGGTATCTTCTTGTTTCTGAAGGTACGAACATCTGGATGTGCCTAAAATATAACGAAGGAAATTATAATGTGCTAATCAGTCAATTTCCATGTTGAATGCAGAGAGAAATATACCTTGATATAGTTATCCCAAACAAGATCATCAGCAACCATCATTTTTTGTTTATCATCCCAAGAAAACCCTTTTTGTAGTAGTAGACTATGAACATCACTGTAGAACTTCAACAGTTTCCTATATCTACACCTTAAAAAGCTTTTTGCGAACTGAAAACAGAACTTGGCATTGAATGAACCAAGCATATCATTCCATGCTTGTTTGCCGAATGTGTTCTTACTTTTGTTGCCCTTTCTAAGATTTTCCAGCATAAGCTCAATGAAGTATTGATCCATGGCTGGTGTCCATTCTATATTTGGGTTCTCGTCACTTGCTGCAGGAATGGAACTTCCAACACCTAGAATTGAGAATTAGTGAAAAGCTTGTTCATTTTTCTTCATTAAAAAAAAGGTCCTGCCAAATGATGAAGACATTTAAATGCAATAATAATCCATTTCATATCATTTACAACACTTGCAGGGGGGAAAACCCATCATAAAAAATTTCATGTCTCCTGGCAGATCTGGAGTTTGAATAAAAAAGGAAGTAACAAGGACTGCCTGGCTTAGTTTGCAGAAAATAAGTGAGAAAGAGAACATATATTAGTAAGCTAAGGTTCTGTAACCAAAAGGCTCATTAAAGGTTATATTAAGGGCTTCACAAAATCGCAGGTTTGCATTTAGTACACAGACACTCTTCATAGAAGTAGATATGATACTAATACACTGAAAATGTTACTGGATTTCTCAATCAATTCATGTGAAACATTATTATAATGGTATTTATTGACTTTTACTAGCTACATTCATAATTCTAAAAAGTTAAGGAGTTTTCAATAATCATAAAGAACCCCAGAACGGACTCAGCTTATCAATGCCAATGGAAATATATAACCTTACTAGTAACAAGAACACACCGAAATTCACCCCTTGAGCATCATCATCAAAGTCAATATCATGACTTGACCTACTATATCTTCCATCCGCCTGTGTGTATGCATATATCAAGCATAAGTCACTGAAATTCACCAAAGTTCTATTCCTATACACCTGTGCATCCGGCTGACCCTACAAATCCATTATAATCAAATAAGAGCATATAAAAATGAAAAGTCCTTCACATGAACCAGAACATCATCCTCACCTTGATATATGCATTCCAAACATGAGGAGGGGCAACTACCAATTTCCTTGTATCATCCCAACTGAACCCGTTTTGTTCAAGAAGGTTCTTCACATCATTATACTGCTTCCACAGATTGGTATAATGACTTTTCAAAGTGTCTCTATCGTATTTACACCCAAATTTTGCATTGAAGATAGATAACATATCAGTCCAAGCTTGTTTATTAAATGTATGACCTAATCTATTGCCCCTATGCATTTGATCTAACATAAGATCAATGAAAAATCGCTCCATTGCCGGCGTCCAATTTGTTCTTGTTCTATCACTGCTATTAGGAGCATTGCTTCCCATTCTTCCCCCTGATAATACACAAAAAATTCATAAATTAATTAAATCAGAATTACAGTGCTTTAAAAAATATTGAAATTTAAGTAACAACTTACAAGCATACAAAATTCAAAGCTAATATAAGCTAAAATGAAATAAAAAATTGTAAAGATGACCAAAAGATGGTCAAATTTAAGGTTTCTGCTACCTAAGAGTTTCAAGAAGAGAAATTCTATCTAAATTAAGCATAAATAATGGTCAAATTTAAGGTTTCTGCTACCTAAGAGTTTAAAGCAGAGAAATCCTATCTAAATTAAGCTGAGATTACGTTAAATTAATTCGATCAAACAACTGAAACTCAAAACTTCATAACTCTTTTTTTTTTTTTTGTCTTTTCCAGCATTTTCCGGTAACGATACGGAAACAGAAGCGAAATTGCTGGTAAAAAATAGAGTAAAAAGGATTAGAGTTTGATACCTTTATATTTTCTGGTCAGAGATGTGGCGAAGGAGAAATTTTGATTCAATTTTCGGGAAATTTGATCGCGAGTGTGTGTGCGCTTTAGAATCCAACCAAAATAATTGAAAAGAAAGGGTGCTTTAGAATCCAACCATGAAAAGAAAGGGTGTTTTGGATTGAAAGCTTAAAGGAGAAACGGCCTGTTTGGCTGTTAACGGGGCTTCAATTGGACCCTTCAAACTTGGTCTAAACCGAATTTCAATGGACCAGTCGGATGGGCCGCTAAAATCCCTTTATTCCCCCAAAATCTGAAGATTGAACCCAACACTTTATTGATTTTCGTAAAGAAATTATCCGATCGTACGTATTGCATAAATTAATCGAATTAAGTTATTAGATTTTTAAGCAAGATTATTTGAATTTGAACGTTTATAAATGAAGTAAACTGAGTTAGAAACACCGTACCCATGTTTAGGGAGTAGTTGAAATAAATAATTGTCATTTGATAATTCTATCATTCTACCACTTTTATAATAAGGATTATTCACTCCCTAATCATATATACAATTTGATATTTTTAGTATTTTTTTCTCGAGAAAAATACATTTTTGAAAAAAACAATGCAAGTGAATCTCATTTCCTCACTTCAGGTTTACGCGGTTTGGGAGGTTGTGTTAACCTTAAGAAGCAACATCTATTTTCATAATTACACCAATATGGGAGAAATTGCTTCTACATTGTTAGAAAATAGTATTGGTGCAAAACAATACCCTTAGGGTGTGTTTGGTTCACGGAATGTAAGAAGACCAGTGAGAATAAAAGATTACTAGGGAATAGGATTACTGGGAATGTTGTATTTTGTGTTTGGTTGGTTTAGCAGGAATGTAAGATTACCGTGTTTGGTTAAAGGAATAAAAGATTATTGGAATGTATATTTGACCAAATTGTCCTTATTATATATTTGTATAATATTACAAATTGTAAAATATTTATATGTTTTATTTAAAAAATTAAATTCATAATATTTATATAATTTTTTTACAAAATTAAAAATATAAAAAAAAGTTTAATGAAAGGGTAAAAAAAATTTTTAACCCCTGAACTTCATATAAAATTTTAATTATAGATTTTTTTTTGTAAATCTAAAATAATTTAAGGATAAATTTGTAATTTAACCTTCGTAGAATTTTTATTATTCAATGACAGAAGAAAGATATTTTTGAAAAAAAATAAAAATTTAAGGGCATTTTAGTCCAAAACGCCGGTAATGTTACAATACCTAAGGGAAGGGAGGTAATGACATTCCCGGTAATATACCCCAAAAAATCTACTATTAGTAATAAAACATTACCGGGAATGAAATTCCCGACCAACCAAACATGGGAATGTGGGATTCCCATCCCATGAGAATCCCACAATCCTTGAACCAAACACCCCCTTGGCGTTGACTATCAAGTAATAATAACAATAATTGGTCTCTGCAAAATTCAATTCGAATTATTCGGTCAATAAATCAAATATAAGTGATTAAATAAAAAATAATATAAAAGTATGTCCATCGTATATACATTATATAATGTTATTTCGTAATCATATTCAAGTATTTATAAATATAATTGAAATTTTCATACTTTAATAATTTATTTAATAATAGATTTTGAATTATTCGTGTATTCATGTCATTGTGGCTCAAAATAAACCATTTTTCCCGTAGTTCATTATTTAAAAAAAAACTACACTTCACCGTTCCCCAAAAGGCCAAACACATATTGATGGCCTTTTGTTGCAATACGTACGTACGTACGTACTTGGATACATACGCACTTACATATGAATACGTATTTATAGCTCTAATTATTACATTGATCACATTGGGGAAGTGGAAACTAAAACCAAATTACAAAGGTGACCTACTGGGAAGCTATAGCTGCTGCTTCATGGGATAGCAGTGAAGTTGAAATTATTGCATGAAGTCTTGAAAAAAAGCAGGGAAGAGCTGAAACCAAGCCTTGATCTTGCCATATCAAACTGTATCAGATTATTCTCCATTTGGAAAGCCCCGATGACAATCGAAGCTCCATTGTTCTTCATTCCTCCATCAACAAATGCTAAGCAAGAAACCCCGGGTGCAGCTTCGACAATCGAGTTCGCCCCGAAAATCCGCCACACCATATGGTTGTCATGGAGCACGAGATCGATGTTAGGAACCGCTGGTCCAACCCTGGTGCTTTTGAAGCTTTTCGAGTTGAAACAAGCCCTGAATGGTGCAACGGGCTCCCACTTGGGGAATATCAGACAGCTCCTTGGTGAAAAACTGAGTGACGGCTTTGAAGATCGTGTGGTGCAGAACCGTATAAGGATTGATTGTGCTCAGCTTCGTGCCTCCGGCACCTCGTTTGTCGACCGACAACAGCGTCATGTTGATCGGAACGTTTTTGTTGTTTATCTTGATTGATCTCACTTCCATGTAGTACTCTCCTTGGGGACTGATGATAAGTGGAGTGTAGCTTAAAGGTCGAGTGATCTCGACATCAGGCAGCATGTAGTAAGGGCTGTCCCCAAAGAACATGACCCCATTAGGGGGCTAAACACAAGGCAAATGTTGGGGAAAAAGCAGCAGATCCAAAGTGTAAGGCCAGTTGACTGGGTAGAGAAATTGGGGAATGCCCCAATCCAGCCACCCCTTGAACATTTCCTGGTAACCCATTTTGCAGTAAAAGGGAAGGTGCACATGTAAACAAGAACTGAGGGACCCTAACCATTGGACCAGGGTTAGACCCTTGGGTGGACTGGATTGATAGCACATCTTGCGCAAGCTCACTCATTGCGGTTATGCCTGTTACGGGGTTCACCGACATCACGCCACATGTGTTGTTATGGCACCCCGGTCTAGCCTTGGCGGAGCATGTGTGGCAATAGTAACCGTCGGCTCGAGCACATTGAGTCGAGCGGCACCGAGGGGCACGGTAGGTCGATGAAAGATAACTTTTGTCACAAGTGACCCATAGTAACCTTCCATTCAAGTCCACAACAAATGGGACTTTCAATGAAGGAGTTTGCTTGTATATGTTGGCCACATAAAGGTTGGTCTTTTGATCTCTTTGCACCGGCAAAACAAACCTATTCGGCTTCAGAGTTGTTAGAGATTCCGATAAAAGGTAGAAAGAAGAAAAGGAAAGGAAAATGAGAAGGAAATGATGGAAAGAAGAAGCCATGAATGCCTCAAGTGGTGTAAGAAAGGCTAAGCGGTGCGGAGATGAACGAAGAAACTTGAGTTATTTTATAGGCAAAATAGAGTTGTTAAAATGTAGTCTTATCTTTTTTGTAATCTCAGCATTGTTCATGTGACCGTTTTGGGATTATATGCATTTGGCAAGCACAAAGGGAGGCTTTGAGAGGCTAAGTTTGGCAAAATTCAGGCTAAAAGATGAACATCAAAGCAAATGAACAAAATTGAATTGGTAAGTGTGAACTGTAAAGCCACTTGGCAATGGCTGAGGGCATCACAAGACACTAATTTTATTTTGTTGCCATCAACTCATTCTATCACTTCATGGCCTTGCCTTGGTCTTGGGCTGGAATTAAGACAAAATCAACAAACCAAGCCTTGTTAACCGTGGTAACAAATGATCAGATCAAAGAGAATGGACTCTCAGCCGAAGGAGATGAGAGAATGGACTCAAAACAATGCAACCATGCAAATTTGAGTCCCTCAAAAACACCTCCAAGTCCGGTGTGAAGAACAGAAGAAATGCCTAAATTCTTGTTATAAACTAAGAGAAAGTTACCATGATGATCTCGGAATAGTCCCCATGTTGATCGGAAATGCGGGGACTGCCATTTTAACCGTGCCTTAGCTGGAAGGCCACTAGAGGAAGTAAACTGGTCATCAACAACAAATTACATTAACAATCTCTTCTTTTAATGGGAACAAAAAATTTAAAAATTAAAATTAATCCAATTACTAAGACGTGTTAATAACTATAATTTAAGTTAGAATAAATAAGTTGTTCAGAATTTGGAGGATGATTCACGACCCTCATGCTTTGGTTTGCAATCTTGAAAGTTGATAGTAGCCACGCACCAATGTGTCTATTTTCTCTTATTCTAAGTTTTTGAATCCAAATTACATTAATAATCTCTTTCTTTTAATGGGAGACTAAGGACTTTGCTTTTGAGAAAATAGCCAAAAAGAAAAAGCAAGTAAGCAACAAGAATGAGAACAATCACTTTCAAAAAGAAAGCATGGGAGCCTCTAGCCGGAGTTTTGTTTAAAGCAAATAATTGAAGCATAGAAAGAAAAAAAAGGAATTTAGTAGTCAAAGGCTGAAGCTAAATGGACCCTTTTTGGCCATAAGATTAGATGGGGATTGAAACCAACATCATCATATCAAAATTACATTTGGCAAATCGGCAAGAAACACAAGCAATGCCTTTCTTGCGCTTGTTTAAAGCACCCTAATGAAGCGAAAATAAAACCAAGAAAATGAAAGACAACATTCACTAATCTGAGAAAAATTTACATCACATTGCAGGCGTTTGCGTTCTCATCACTAAAGAAATGAGCATAAGATTCGGAATTCGATGCCGTAGTATGCATCGGATAAGCCGGACCGTATGGTGCATGGGGTGGTGGATATGGCTGAACATACATCATTGGCTGATACATACCCCCAGCATTCCCATTCGCACGTTGTTGGTTCATCATCATAGCCATGTATTGTTGTTGTTGTTGTTGATTATGGGGATTTGCTGGTCCCATCCCATGGTAGTATCCCCCACCAACACCATTCATTGCTGCACCAGCAGGTAGTCCTTGAACTGCAGGGAAATTACTCATTTGGTTCATTGGATAGTTCCCCATTCGACCCATATTATTATAACCCATTTGCCCGCCCATTTGACCCATCTGCCCCATGTTCTTCTTACTGCCAGCTCCTCTGCCATGATTAATAACATCAATGTCATGAAACCCACCGTTTTTAACCTTGTTCATCTCTTGGCTCCCACCACCATTTTTGCCCCCACCCTTTTTAGCCCCATTACCATTATTGTTACCTCCGCCATTGCTGCCTCCGTTCCCCTTATAGGCACCCTTGTTTTTACCATCCCATTCGATTTTACCCTTCTTGTGATTACAATCTTTTACACCTTTATCCTTCTTAAAGAATCCTAGTAATCCACCACCTTTTTTTCCAACATCATCTTTACCTCCCTTGTTTTGCTTCCCTCCCTTGCTCTTTTCACCACCTCCTTTCTTCACTCCATTGCCATGCTTCCCATCCTTGTTTTCTCCCATGCCCTTCATCACTATAGGTATATCAAAAGCATCTCCTTTTTTACCATTCATGGCAGGGCCATTAACCATGCCATTGGGCCCATATGAACCATGACCTTTTCCCATCATAGGCACCATCTTGTTTTGCTTTTGATGCCCATGGCCATGACCATGTCCAAACCCCCCTTCATCAAACCCATCATCATCAAACCCATCATCAAACTCATCACCAAACTCATCACAATCACTTTCATCTAAATCATCATCAGGCAAATGAAACTTGATAGATTTCTGATCCTTGGAAGGTGGTAACTTGAAATCTTTAGACCCTTTCATCATCATTTGCTGCATACGGGGCGGTGGTGATGCAAATTGCTGCCCACCGTTTTGCCGGTTATTCTTTCCACCACCACCACCGCCGCCACCCTTTTGAGATCTGTTGTCTTTACCACCTTTGCCATCATCAAAATGCATGTTCTTGAACTGGTTGGTCATCTGGTTTTGGAAACTATTTGAACCCTTTTGAGCTGATCCCCATAGCTGTGCACGTTTCCCTGACTTCTCAAGCTTCCTTATAAGTATAGCTGGGTCAACATTCCCTGTCACTGTAACCTTCCCTTGATCTGCATTTATACTTGTAGTATACACCCCTGAATTCAACCAAAACAAAATAAAAAAACCCAAAGTACTAAACTTTAACAAAATAAAGAAAAAAATGACACTAACATAGTAACGTACCATCAATTTTTTGCAACAGTTTCTTTATTTTCTGCTTGCAGCCATCACAACTACACTGTATATTCACTTTAAGGATCCATGTCTGAGAAGAAAAGAAAACCATAGAACATTGTTAAAAACAAAGAAGAGAAAAGGGTTTTGAACACTCTTGGAAATAAAAAACAGCTAAGTCACCTGCATCTTCATGACTTCTTGTTTATTCATCCTTCAAAGAACTGAAACTAGAGAGACAGACAGACAAAAGATGAAAGTTTTGTCCCTTAGTTTTTGGTTTGTGAAAGAAAAGGATAAAAGAAAACCTGAGCTACAAGATTTGAGAAAGAAGAAGAGTTCAAATGCAGATATGGGAGATTAAAAAACCTCTGTTTTAGCTTGCAAAAGCTTTAATTTTAGAGAAAGAGAGAAGGCTGTTGCAGAAGATTCAAGGAACCATGAAAGATTTAGTTAAATAAACAAAAAGAGATGAAAAGCAGCTGGGAACATGAAACTATGGTAATATGAACTAAAGTTGGATCACTTGGCAAAGGCTTTAAACTATTTGAAGCTTCAGCTTCTTTTCCTCCCAAGGGATTTAAATCCTACTTTTTTTTTTTTTAATATCTAAACTTTTAATTATTTCAAAATCATATTTAACGTTTAATTTTTATTTCATTTTAATATCTCACCGTTAAAATCTTAATGCGTTTAGTACCTAAATTATTATTTCTTTTTGTTTTAGTACCTAAACTTTCAATTTTTTAAAAAAACTTGATGTTAAGTTTTTAACGGATACTAAAATGAAACAAAAATTAAATATGTTTTTAAAAAAATTAAAAGTTTAGGTATTAAAATGGATCATAACTGATAGTTTAAGTATTAAACACGTAGTTTACCCTTTTTTAAAATGAAAAGATTTTAATTAATTAATTAAAGAGAAAATTAAGAAGAAAAGGGTAATTTCAGTGATCCTTAGCACAGTAAGTGGTCATGGAACCAAAGGCAAAGCTGGTGGTTTCACAGTGCACTCTTCTTCTACCCTGCTCTGGTCCCCATTGCACTGCTGATGCAGTTTCTGTCTTGTTGATGGACTTGTTAGGCAAGAAGATATATTATGTTTGTTGTTCCAATGTACATATATATATTGGAGGCTTTTTTTACCCAAATATATTTGAAAAATACTACTTAACTAATACTCCTTTCTAATTATATATTAACTAATACTACTTAAAAATACAACTTAAAATAAATAATTTCTATATAAATCGCTTATTACAGACATGATAAAGGCGCTCTATAAAAAGGTTTTTTTATTGAGGTGAATATATCCCTCAAATACGCTTTTTATAGAAAATGACTTTTAAACTCTAAATTTATCTTCGGTCTTAGAATTTAGGTTAATGGTTTATGTTTTTAGAATTTAAGTTTTTTCTAGAGTTATTGATGTTTTAGGGTATTTAGGGTTCTATGCTAGGGCTTAAAGATTTAGGAATTATGATCAATGGTTATGACCGATTAGTTTTAGAGGTTTAGGATTCTCATTTGAGTGAATAAGTTTAGGGTTATTGTGTAAGATTATGGAATGAAAGTTATTATGGATACAATTATTCGAGTTTAGGGTCAATTTTCTTAAGTCTAAGATTAGGGTTTATGATTTAGATATTTAGGAATTAAGGTTTACGGTCATGTTAGTTTAATTTTAATGGTTTAGGAGTTTTACTTAAGTGAATAAATTTAGGGGGGTTTTCTCTCAAGATTACAAGATGAAAGTTATCAAGGGCACATTTATTTACGTTAAGAGCCGAATTCTTTTAAGTTTAGGGCACATAGTTTGAAGGTTTCAGTATTTATGTATATGTTATGTTTGAAGAGTATTTTGAATTAAATTTTTTAGGGTTTAATGTTAGCTTTGGGTTACGTTAGGCTACTTTTAGTGGTTTAGGGTTCTCACTTGAGTGATTGTCATTAGGGATATAATTATTTTCGTTAAAGGCATGTTTATTGTTTAATGAAATCGTGTTATGTAAAGTTATAATAAAACCAAAATTATTTGGGAAAAAATACAATATTATAAATGAAAAAGTACAAAACATAATCGCATGTGATTATGGTTCAAGTGAAGCTACATGTCTTCTCATTCTCTCTTGTCGATCATGCAAAGGATTAGTTGTTCTATACATGGTTTTAAATAGTGGTATGTGATTGCGATAGTGCTTGTGAAATAACGGTAGTGCTGCCTTCTGATATACTTGCAATAGAGCCCGCTATGACCACAATCTCAGTAAACGAGACATGATCGAAAACGTGACCGTGACTGTGATTTGAATCTCTGGTTCTATAAACTATCCAGATCTGTGCACACTTGGAGAGACATGACAAGAATCGTTATTGACAAGTATTTTTATACTTCAAGAGTCGTCAATATTAGAAGAGATATTTATGAGATTCAACAAAGAGGCATTGAAATACTTCACACCTACCGGAAGAGTTTCAAGCAACTATATGCAAGTTATTCACAACATGAGATCTCCGATCAACTGCTCATCCAATATTTTTATGAAGGTTTGTTACTTATGGAAAAAAAGATGATGGATGATACAAGTGGAGGAACAATTGTTAACAAAACTTCTACAGAAATCAAAGATTTAATCAATATCATGATCGTCAACTCTCAACAATTTAGTACACATCAGGAAACATTCTCTAGACGGGTGAACGAGGTAAGTATTTTAACCCTTCAGAATTGGAAGAAGGGAGTTAGAGGTAGTTTTCGGGCTTGAAGGTACTTGTAGTATAAAATGTCTTTTGAAAAGTGTTGCTAACATGACAATCTTTACTAAAAGAGTTTCATATTAAAAATGATTATTATTTTAATAATAAAATATTTTTTTCGATATTTGAGTAAAAAAATCCCATATAGGAAGGTGTTTGAATAAATAACATCATGATATTTTTTATCAAATAATAAAACAAAACACTTAAATTAAATTTCCAGCATAAACAATTAAGAAAAATACATGCATAATATTGATGGATCATAAATGCACTAAAAACCTAGCACTCACTATAATTCATCGCTTCCAAGCATCAGTGCAATAAGGAAAAGCAATATAAGATGTGACATTATATTATAGCAATTTTCCTAAATTCCAAAACCCTTATCTCATCAAATAGTGGCTAAAATATAAAATGAAAATCATAATTTTATTAGAGAATTAAATTAAAATTTTAAAAATAGATTTGAAATTAATTATGGTAGTTTTTCCAATTTTATTATTAATGTTTGCTCTAACTATTCGAGCAGAGTTTCCCTTAGGTAAAACTAAAAAATTACCGGCCTTATAGTGTTGATGAGTTACCATTTACCAACCTTCTTACATGTATTAATATTCTTTTTGTAAATCTATAAAATGTTTTCCCCATATGTTTACGGGCTGACCATATCCCTAAATTGATAAAATTTACAATTAAGTTCTTTATAAATTATAACTTTATAAGTTGCTATATGCTAAAATGATTTTTAATTTTTTTAAAATGATAAAATAGATATTAATTTATATAAAATTATAATTTGACTCTCATAAAATTTATAATCTAAGTTTAACCCTACAAAAAATTCTAACTTTATCTTTATCCACATCTATATAATAAATTTGTAAAAAATAGTTGAGAGGATCGTCCTTACTTCTATAGTACTTGATATAAATTAATTAATTAATAAATCAAATATCGATGATTATAAAAAATAATATTTTATTTTGTGTAATATTATTTTATGAGTTTCTTCTTCGTATTATTATATAAGATTTGTCAGCCTTGGTAAAAAGCATCGAAGAACCAAAATCTCAAGTTTTATAAGCCAATACATGTATATAACAACCAGGGAAGGGTGGACTGCAGACTTTTGTTTTGCAATTTTACAGTGAATCTTTACTTGTTTGACCATCTCAAAATTAAGAAAATTATTGGGAAATGTGGTACTATATATATATATATATATTTACATATTTTTTAATATAACTTAAATAAATTCGACAATTTCATAGTACAATATACAAACTTTAATAGCATTCATTTTATATTTTAAGTTAAAATTATAATATAAATAATATATTTTTATGATTATAATTGAAATTAATTAATACAATGCATAATGAAATTACAATCAGATTGATTGATAATTAGATTTTGATAGCAGTATTAATTATATGTATAAGGGAAATTTAGCTTTGCTTGCAAGATTTATCAACTGTCCTTTTTTAAGTAATATGAAGTAAATATAAGGTAGTATATGTTTAAAGATAATTCTCAGTCATTTGACATTAAACACCTATATTCCTAACATTCATAATTCTCAAACTAAAAACATAAAAATAATAATTATTATTTTATCACTGAGATCGTTTAATTAATATTTATCGATCGTCTTGTATACTGTTCTTAATGGAAATAAAAGTTATTGTAGAGTGAAATAATATTACATTATATATATTAATAATTTAAAGTTGTGGTAGGGGTGACCAAAAGAATCTGAAAAATAAAAAAAAGTCAAGTTGTTATGAGATACAGACAATCACCAAGAGTTAAAGCGGTGCAGCAATTTCAAGTTGTTGCAGCTATGATGTATTTTCTTTTCTTTTTCTATTTATTTTCTTCAGAAATAAAATAATTGATTGTTTGTTTGTCCTCCACCTTGGAAGCCTAACCCATGACTTATGATGAAAACAAATAGGATAAACTACCTATTTAGTCACTCATCTATTAGTGTGATTTGTTTCGATAAATTAACTATTTTTTCTTTCAAAATCATACTAACATTATGTTTTTGTCACTTGTTATTAAAAAATTAATAGTGATGCTAACGTGTCACCATAAGATAATATCAAATCTTAAAATATATAAAAATATTATGTATGTAGTTCTATTTATTTTTTTAACAATGAGTGATCAAAACATAACAAAAATATAATGTTACGTACAAGGACAAATGTAAAATTTTATGTTAGGAATTGAATTTATAAAATGCTATGGAAATACGAACTTATAAATTTTAAGTAGATAAAAATAGTTTTTAAATTTAAAACTTTTAGGGGACGATCGCCCCCATCCTCTCTCCTTTTGGTCCACCACTGGTTAGGTGTGATTTTGAAAAGAAATAATTAAGTGACCAAAACGAAACTATGAGAGTAAATCGGTGACTAAATATGTGGTTTATCCAAACAAATATGATGTTCCCCACCCTCTGTAAAACATGTCTAAATAGTGACAGAAAAGATGCCCATCCACTAATAGGGTACATACCCTATAAAAGAAATCTAAGATATGTTTGTACTTTAAGCTTCAAAAATGGCTTTTCCACTCTAAACTTTTGACCCATGGCATCAACTTCTTCTTTATTTGAAAAAAAATAAATTGTTTAATAGAAACTCTCCGATA